GACACATACAGACCCGCCCGCCCAACAACAGCATGGTAAACATTCTTCTCAAGCACACATGGAATGATCTCCCCAAAAGACTATTATGTCAGGGCGCAAAAGAATTCCTAACACATTTTAGAAAATTGAAATTATTCAAAACATCTTCTCTGACCACAGTTGGAATGAAACTAGGAATTAATAGCAGAAGGAAAACACAGAAATCCAAAAGTATGTGGAAATTAAACAACACTTTTAACAACCACTGGGTTACGAAGAAATTGCAAAAGAATTTAGAATATATCTCAAGGCAAGTGAGAACAAAGACACACGTGACCAAAATGCAGGGGACGCAGTGACGGCAGTACTAAGAGGAAAGTTTGTAATAATAAATGCCTGCATTTTTTTTTTTTTTAAGGAGCATTTGAAATCTTGCTTCCTGGCAATTGTGAGTTGAGTTTATGAGTTTATGAGTTGAGAATCTTTATGAGTTTATCTGAGCAAGTGCCTCAAATAAACTCATAAGGATTCTGAAATAAACTCATAAGGATTCTCAAAAAAGAAAAAGAAAAAAAAAAAGGAATAACGATCTCATACAACCCCCTAACCTTATACCTTAAGAAACTAGAAAAAAAGGAGAGCAAACAACTCAAAGCCCTCAGAAGGAAGGAACTAAAGATTGGAGTAGATAAATTAAATACAGAATAGAAAAACAATAGAAAAAAACTAACCCAGAGTTGGTCTTTTTAGGTCCGCAACATTAACCAACTAACAAACTACAACTTGCGATCACAAGCTGCCAGAAAATACTTAATTTGGTTTTTGTTTTTGTTTTTTTTTTTGTTTTTTTTTTTTTTTAGTCCCATCTGGTTTTGTAAACAAAGTCCTGTTTCTTCACTTGCGTATTTTCGGAAGTGGAGGTTTCTTGCAGGTAGGAAGAGTCGTGCACTCCCTCCTGCCCGACCTCCTCTCAGAGCTGCGCGTCTCTGTGGAGCTCTGCGCCTCTCACTTCATCAATCCTATTGCCTCTTTCCATTTTCCCTCCTTTTGAGCATATTAGTGTGACTCCCATTCATTTTTCTTCTTTGCACCATTGTTCTTCATGGGAACATAATAGATCATTTCATTTTCTTTACTGCTAGTGCTGGTGTGATTCTAGTGTCTTATTCATGAGAATGAAGAGAGAGCTTTTGTTCGGATAATACACTGCGCCCCAGGAATTAGGAGCGCTGCTTGCTGTGGCCCCAGTACACATAATTCTTTCTCACCTATACCGGCACAGAGGATAAGAGCCTTTTGCCATTTAGCTGTTACTGTGCAGGGTTGAAAGTCATGTCAAACAAGAGCTGTTGTATATTTTAATAATCTTCCACCAGTGTTTGAAACTTTAAAATGGATTATACATTCAGAAGACGTGTGTCAGGTGCTTATTATAGCCCAAGCCTGTGGTGGGCACTAGGAATAAAAAGAGTGTGGCCTGATTCCTGACTCCAGAGGACTTAGTCACGGTGCGACACCCCGTGCCAGGCAGGGAGCTCGCGCCTTGGGATGGTCGCGCCGGCGCCGCCTCCTCCCAGCGCGCAGCAACCAAGGCGTTCTGGGCTCTGAGACCTCGGCGGTCCTCTTCTGTACAAGGAGGGGGTTTGCCTCAACGATCCCCCGTGATCTTGCCTACCTCCGTGATTCCATCGTTTGCCTAAGGTTACTTAAGGCTGTTGTGAGGACCAAGTTAGAAAAAAATGTATGAAAGCACTTTAAAAATTATTAAGTGTTGTCTAATCAGAGACATCACTAATCATTTACTAGTTTGACATTATTTACTAATGCTTTTGGTTTAAAGACCAGATGCATTAAGTGTTGTAACTGAGTCCCAGAAGTTTTAGGAAAAGGGCGACCTTTCCATGCGTTTGGCCCCAAGGTCTGGGGGTGCGCGAGGGGATCTTGGATTCCCGTTATTGAGTAGAGTAGGTCCTCTGTGTGAAGGTGCAGTGATTTAAACCACGGGCTTCGGAAACTCAGCGTGTTGGAAGGCCTGCCGCAGTCCTCATCGCTTGGGTTATCTGTTCTGTATGAGGCTCAGGAACTGTGGCTAAGTAGGTAATTGTTCACTACCATGGAATCTACTTGTATGTACGCAAATACGGCAGCACATTCACAGCTTGCCACAGGACCGCCGTGTCTAACGTGGAATACGTTACAGTTTGGGGTCAATTATCTGTGGCTTTTTTGTCCGCTAAACATTTTGGAGTCTATGACATATACCAGGCTTTCAAATTTATGTGCTCTTTTAAAAAAAGCACAGCTGGCTCTTTCTCTGTGTTTGTATATTGTAAGAGCCACTGATAACATGCAGAAGGAATTAGCTCAAAGCCAGTTAAAAAAGCTGAAGTAGTAATTATGTTTCAGTTATTATTAATAGATATTTATCCCCAGATCTAAGTAGTAGTTTTAGCTTGGAAATTTTTTATTGTTAAGGATTATGATTATCACTAGTCTGACGTTCTTCAAAAGTTTTTATAATGTATACCCTTTTTATTTATGAAATGGTGAGACTCACTAAAAGCTGCTTTTGAAGTAGGATTTGAATATATTTTCATTTGCAGTTACTGGCGGTAGAGAATAATAACTAACTTGCTTATTTAATCTGCTAGGATTTAAACTTTAACATTTAAGTTTATGTTTATGATCACATGATTATAAATTTGATTTACCTCAGCTTTTGAAGAATAAAATCATTCCCCTGTTTTACTGGTAAACTCATATAGCAAATGACTCATCCCTTCTTATATATGCTAGGAAAATGGCATTTCATTGTTAAAGCTAGAATCGAGTTGGTCAACCAGAAGCGAGCCTCTAACTGTTTCCAAATGCTTACTTTTGAGGTTTGGACGCGGCTCGGAGTCTGAGCTCAGTCTGGAATTTGCTACGCTTGTCGTTTTCCCCGTACCCTTTCATTATGGGTGGGTAGAGTCATGCTCCAGTCTGTTTTATGATTCCCCTTTACAATAGTTAACAGAAAAATGTGGACACAAACTCCAGAGCTAAACATGATTTTAAAAGGCAAAAATAGGGTTTCTGCAGGTTTCTTTTGCATTTTTATGACCTTTGAAATTATTATAGAAATTGATCTTGGTTCTAAATGGCATGTCACTGGGTGATTTAGCAAACACCCTTTCCTCCCCAATACAGCTCAGGTATAGCTCCTACAGCTGCAATTCTTATATTTTTTAAAAATTCTTTTCAGATACAATGAGAGTGGTGCATCCATATGCTTTGGTGACATGCTTGCTGCTGTTGAATGTAAACGTCTTATTAAAATTAATGACGTTAATAATTCAAGGGCGGTTTAACTAATTAATTAATTCCCTTGGTGGAATAACCCACGTGAAGACGGGGAGATGGTTGTAGACGTGCGCCATAGCAAGAAGGGCAGGGGATGAGTGAAGAAGGGGTCAGGAGTTTGAATCGTGAGAACCGGTGACCGGGAGCCACGGGGGTTTGGAGGGAGGAGGAGGGTTCGGGGTGCCGTGGGGTGGATCTTGGCTCTTAAGTCACCATGTGCCTGGAGACTGGTCCCACTCGAGAGCGGTGTAACCCCTGCCCACACCGAGCTTTCCGTCTTCACGCCGCCCCCCCCACCGCCCGCCCCCCCCCACCGCCCCCCGCCCCCAGGCTTCTAGTCTCCAAGGCTGGTCCTTGACGTCATCGCTGCGCTGTTTCTTCGCTGTATCCAATTACACAACAGCTACTTCTCGGAATCTCTGTTTAATTTTCCTCTTTGTCCCTATTGTGACCTTATCCAAGCCCTTGGCGCCGTGCACTTAAAGTGTGGGAACGGCCTCCTGACTTCTTCCCGGGTCATTTTTCTTTCTTTAATCCAGGGTCTAAAACATCTGGTATCTATACATAACCATTCATTGAACCAACAGGTACTTACTGTGGGCTCTCCTTCAGCTATACTTCAGCGTCGCCCTTCCTTGAAAGGTGTCTGCTCCTTTCATCTCTGTCTCCTGAGCTGTACTCAGGAGGGGTTTTGCTTTGGAAATGTTGAGATTCTGCAAGTTTAGAGGAGAGCACTGGCTGAAGCTCTTCAGTGTACCGGAGCCGCCATCTCCCCTCGCCCGCCCCGCTGCCCCACTCGGTGCCCGGAGCTGCCACGCAGCGCCTTCCCTCCGTCCGCGCCGCCCCGGGCCGCGTGGCCTCCCCGGAAAGGCTCTGAATCCGCCTGTCAGAGCCGAAGACCAACAAGACTCAAAGGCGAATCCGATGCGTCGCCAGTTCCGAAAACGACTGCATTCGAGTCCTCACCATCCGCTCTTGTGCGTGTACATTTAGTCACCTACCCAGCCTAAGGCAGGAACTTCCGCATCGCTGGCTGAGGACCGGCCACCGGTGTGAACACATACAGGCAGCTTGAGCCCTCTCACTGCAGGTGCTGAGTGACCGCATCCGTGGTCATATCCAGGCTTCTGTGTGTTTTTTAAATAATGAAAGAAGAGATTTATAATTGGGTTGGAAAAAATACTAAACAACTGGACTAACATATATCATACTGATTTTTTTTTGTATTTTTCTTAACAGCACTATTTAGAGAAATGTATGAAATATTTGATAATTGTTAAGGACCAGTTAGTTGGTCACGATATGCTTTATAGATTACCTTGGAAGATTCTGGCCATCTGAAGTCTATTTTATTTTTATTTTTTATTATTGTTTGAAGTCTTATTTTAAATAACAGTTGAATGACTGCTGTGTTTAGATTTTTAGATCCTCCAGAACTGTTCAGTAGAGTAAGTGTAGTGTTTTATATTGTACACAGATGCATTTATCTAGCTCTTTTATTTTAGATAAAAATTTATTGATTGCATGAAAAACCTGGGACAATGACTAGATTCTTTTTCCTCCTATTACTCTGGTAAATCTCGTTATATCCTGCTCTAGGGAGGTATTTTGTCACTTTCTTGCAGGACGCGATTGTCAGAATGTGGCTTTAATAAACTCGATGTCTCCCTTCTCTTTAGTGTCATACCTCTTTTAGGAGAGTCTGCTGGGATATTAATGCAGAGAACTCCTCCCTTGTTGGACAATATTCTGCCCCAGTGCTATCAGAGGGTAAGTTTCAAAGCCCCCAAACCCTTGGGTTACGTGGTGCTTCCAAACTGCCAGGGCGTTTTAACTGCGGGCGGCCTGTGTGCGTGATTCAGTCTCCTTCCAGGGCTGCGTGCTGACCATGAGTGCCGCCCCCACAAACCAGGGTAGAGTCATCAGAAAGTGCGGCGCTCTACAAACGAAGTGCGGTAGAAATTGCCCTTGTCCAGGAATCGAGCAGTTCTTTCAGAATATAAATATGAATAGCAGATGATAGCGGCATCTATTCACTTTTTTTTTTTTTTTTTTTGGAGCTCCCGCGTTGTGCCCGACAGTCTTCTAAGGAACTGGGGACGTCATGGTAAACAAACCAGGCAGGGTCTCTGTTCCGAAAGGGCTGTGCCTGACAGGGACACACAGGCTCTGAAGAAGAAAGCAATGAATGAAATACCAGTGATAATTACTATCATAGAAATAAAGCGAAGTGGCAGACATGACTGGCTACCTCAGATTTACTGAGGAAGTCCGTCAAGGACATTGAAATCTTGAAGACAGGACAGAGCCAGACTTATGAAACCCTGGAGAAAAGTGTACCAGGCAAAGGAAAATGGTAATGCAGAAGTTCTGGGTGCAGGGCGGGGGGGACGAAATTAGTGTGTGTGTGTGTGAAGAACAGAACAAAGGCCACGTGGCTGACGCGTAAGAAAGGCACGGGCGGCTGACAAGCCTGGAGAGGAGGCAGGGCTCAGAGCGAGCGGCCTGGACCTTGCTGAGAGGTTTGGATTTAACTCTAATGAAATGGGGACATCAGGCAGCTTTTGGGCAACAAGAACGGCATACAGTGTTTCCAGGTTTCTCTGCAGTTGTTCTGCTTGCGGGTAGAGAACGCATTCCAGGGAGAAGGAACGCAAAGAAAGCCAGTTCTGAGGCTCTTGTCATCTAAGCGGACCAATGGTGGCTTGGACTCCACTGGTCGCAGTGAAGAGGGAGATAAGGAGACGTTTTGGATGCGTTTTTGGAGACGGAGTGTATCCGCGGAAGGGAGGAAAGGTGTCCCCTCGCACCTGGTGGCCGCCGGTGCCCCTGGTTCAGACAGAGGCTGTGTTGATGCAAGTTTGAGGGTGGAAGCACCCGCCACATCTTTGGTCGGCCCTGAGCTTGTTAGGATTGAAATGCGGGCTGTGCTGCTAGGGGGCGGGCCAGGTAAGCAGTTGGATAGGCACACCTGGTGTTTTAGGGACAGGTGAGGACTCAGAGGATTTTGGAGCCATCAGTACATGAATGGACTTAAAACATTAGGGAGCCAGGATGGGCGGGTGGGGGGTGGGGGTTAGGGAGCTGAAGACCAGCAGTGTGTGCGGGGTCCCAGAGCACAGGGAGGAAGGAGACGGCTGTGCTGTGCAGCGCGGCCGGGAAGGTGGCACTGGAGAGGCATCGGCAGCCTCGTGACCGTGGTAAGCACGGTTTCAGTAGAGCCGGCGGGAGCGCGGTTTGAGTGGCTTGGGAGAGAGAGTGGGGACTACAGGCAGCTCTGACGACGCGCTGTTAAAGGGGCACGGAAACGATCGCTTGGCTCGGGTGCAGAGTCGGGGGGAAGGTGTCCCTTTTTAGAACAGCACTGTCCCATAGAACGCCCCCCAGTAATGGGAGCGTTCTGTCATCTGCACCCTCTGGCGTGGAGGCCCTGGACACCGGTGGCCGTTGGGCACATGAAGTGTGGCGAATACGGCTGGTTTCCGTTCACTTTGCTGTCTGTGTTTCACCGCGGGGGTCTCGTGGCTTCCGTGCCGCGCGGCGCGCTCTGGAGCCCGGTTGGTACGGAGGGGACGGCCCACTGGTTGGGGGGTACTGGTGACGTGGCCCTGGAGGGGTGACTGAAGGAGGGCCGCTGTGGAGCTGGGGGGAGGGACAGGCCCACAGCGCTCTGGCGGGACGCCCCGCAGGGAGCCCAGGGGCGCCGTGTCCCCAAGGGAAGCCGGGATGTGCTCCCGTGAGTCAGGGTCCGCAGGCGGGTTTGGGGACAGGAGAAGGGATTTCCTGGGTGCCTCTGTTTTCTCGAGGATTGACAAGGCGGTGTCGTCAGGCAGACACATGAGGAGACCAGAGGAGCAGGAGGGGGTGAAATGGGCCTCTGGGGTCCACGGAACGCGAGGGCTGCCCGTGGGAGGCAGGCGCAGCCCGCGCTGTGGAGGGGACGGGCGGCGCCGGCGGCCCCCGGGGGCGGCCCGGCACAGAGTGACGGTGTCGCAGGTTGTGTCTGTTCTCCCCGGTGCCTGCACGGGGCACAGTCCCGGCTCGGAGGTCACGCTGTCACTCCTCCAAGGTCGCAGATGCCAGGGGCTGAATCGGGACTCTGGCCCACGTCGCTCAGACCCGGAAGCTCCTGCCCTCCCTCTCCCACCAGGGGCCGGGCCGGGCCGGGCCGGGGCCGCGGCACGGATTGTCGTCTGCAGCCGCCCGTGCCCCGCATCCGGAACGGGAGGAGAGTTAGAGGCTGTTCCTGCGGGAAGCAAGCCTTCCTCTGTGCTTCGGGGCGACCGCCTCTGTCCCCGTGCCGCTGTCTCTGAGGGTGCGGAGAGACCTGTGTGCCCGGCGGCGGGTGCACTCAGAGGGGACCGTTCTGGGCGATGGCATTGCAAGAGGCAGAGGACGTGCGGTCCCAACACTGTCGTCAGGCCTGAAGGAGGAGGGGAGCGTCCAGCTGACGGCCGCCCCAGGAAGGGGCGGTGCTGAGACGGGTGCAGGGGGCTCTGCCTCACCTCTGCGCCCCCCCGCCCCCCGTCGTGGGGTTTACAGAAAATGATGCCTGTGTTCATCCAGTTCTGATAAAAGTAGCTATTTTTGATACATATAAATTCATCTTTATCTTCATTAACATCCCAAATAGATTACTTAACCATCAGAGAACCTCGGAAACCAGGAAGGCCCTGCTGTTCGTTCGGTCGAGGCTGCTGTCTGGGCGCAGGCCTCTCCTCTCTGGCGCTCGGCCGGCCCTCCGGCTCCGGGACCCTGTGAAGCCCCTCGCCGGGTAGCCTGTCCCTTTTTAAACTGCTCTAATTGTGATAAAGAGCTGTTTACACAGAGCGTGACCTTTCTTTTTTAACTTCTGGGTATTGATCGCTCTTAGTCTGTCCCCTCCTCCTGCACCCCCAGATCTATACAGAGATATTGAACAGTCACAGTGATTTGGACCTTTTTGTCTTTTTCCTGATCTTCAAAGGAATCCCTCTAACGTTTTTTTCTTTAAATAGTTTCTGTACCTTTTGGTAGATGGCTTTTATTAAGGAAGTGTCCTAATTATTTTTTCCCTAAGCATAAATAGGTGTTGAATTATAATGCTTTTTTTTTGAAATGGCTATGCTTTTTCCTCTTTATTATTGAAGAATGATAGTAGTAGAGTTTCTGGTGTCTGTTCTTTTCCTCTCGGGATAAACCCGTGATCTGCATGGGCTGAATGGAGGAGGGAGCGGGCCAGAGACCCAGAGGCTGAGACCAGTTAATAGGCGGCCACCGTGACCCCGACTCGGTCCTAGTCGTGGTGGTGTTGCCGCCCCACCCTCGTCCCCTGCCCCTGCAACATCGGCTGGTAGCAGGGGTGGTGAGCAGTGTCTGGATTCTGCTAGTTGTAATGTCCTGTACGTTCACATACTCACACATTCATGCAGTATTCATACTGTTCCCTTTCATGGTTTTTAAAATCTCTTTTCCATTTTGTATTTCGTTAAATTACATATTCCTTTTTTTTTTTTTTTTTAAATCTCCATCCCTTCCAGCAAGTTTTTCTTGCCAGTGGTTCTCACCCTAAGGCTGTGGAGACCTTAAGGAGCCCGTGGAAAAGCTCAGAGACGGCCTTCCTTTGCGGTGGTCACACGATTTGGGGACGGGCGAGCTGGTGTCCAGCTCCCTGGGCCCTGAGGGCGCGGGGTGCGGGGGCGCAGATTCTGACGCCGGGCACTGTGAAGACTTGTCCCGCCCACGGCTGCCCTGTTAAGAAGCTCTGACTCCCGCTTGTTCTTCTCACAGAACTAGATTTTTGTCCTGCGAATTCTCTCACTTTCTAAACCTCGGGATGATCGGTTTCTGTGCTGTACGTCGTTCCTGCATCTTTGATGGACTCTGTCGTTGTTTGCCTTGTTTCCTAGCTCACTTGCGCCCCTACTGGCCCTCCGGCTGAAGGCTGGGAAAACCTGCGGTTGCCGTGCGCCCTCTCTCCCGCCCCGCCCACGCCACGGGCGCGCCCCTGCCCCCGAGCGCCCGCCGCCGGGGCCCGGGTGCCTGGGTGCCTCGCGCACGGGCGCAGGTGCGGGGCGCCCACCGCGCACTGCAGGGAGCTCGGGGCGGGGGGGCGGGGGACAACGGGGCGAGGGCACCGGTGCCCGCGATGAGCAACGCCCGCCCTTGTGTTTCAGGTGCAGCACCTGCAGGGAGTGTACAGTTTACAGGAGCAGCATTTCTGGACCTTGTGTTCCGACGTGTACGTGGGGACCTTGAAGTTGGTGGTGGCACCGGACGCTGACGCCAGGTGGATTTTAAGCCAAACACATAACATTTTTACTCAGGTATGCCTTTTTTGCTAACTTCTTTTAAGGGTGTTAGGATTTGTCGTCTCCCCTGTTTTAAAGAGATGTACCCTTTAACTTCTGAGGCATATATATAGGTTTGTATAGCGCACTGCGCCGGCAGCGTGAGTGTGCTCCTCCTCGGCGGCGCACTTGCCTGCGGGGTCCGGGAGGCACAGTCCGCCGTCCGCGGCAGGCGCTTGCCCACGGCCCCCGGATCAGCGCGGGCCCCGGTGGTGGCCGAGGCCACAGCGCGCGCGTTTCTGCGGGAGGCAAATCTAGGCGGCACCGGTGTGGGCCCGTAGCTTCGTGGGCCCTGAGCTGCTCTCAGCACCGTGTGTGGGTCACGGCGGCCGCAGTGTCCCCGCGGTGCGGCGGAGCGAGGACAGGGCACAGTGCCGTGGCAGCTGGCCTCGGCGGCGGTGGCGGCGCCCTCCCTGCCCCACCGCTGGGCACTGGCTCAGCCTGGGGGAAACAGGAGGTCCTCCCAGGCACGGCAGGCCCCTCGCTTGACAGCCACGCCTCTCGCATGGCCTCCGCGTGGCCGGCGCAGGCCTGGCCCCGAGCCTCTGTGTGCGGCAGGGGCGGCGGCTGGCACAGGGACAGCGCGTCCCCCAGGCCCGGCCCGGGGCCCTCGGCGCGGGCGCGGCCCAGGAATCAGGGCTGAGCCGCCGCTGAGCCGGAGCGGGGTTCCTCGGGGGGCCTGGGAAATGCTGGCTTTGAAAATGGCGAAGCTGGCCCTTTGTTCAGCTGTTGCTTTAGTTTTGGAAACTGTATTCGGGTTTTGAAAATGTTAAGCTCTGAGAAGTATTTTAAGCCTATTTGTCAGCCAAGGGCAAGCCAACCTAATTTCATCCGTGGAGGGCCCCTCGGAGGCCCCGGGGGGATGGAGGGGCCGCCTGCTGCCCCGTGACTTCCCCTCCCCCGGCGGCACGGTGTTGTTTCCGCCGGGATGCAGGCAGGCTACAGCTGTTTGATTCACTTGGTTTTTTTCTGCTTGTGCTCCAGTAATGCATATCCAGATGCTCTCAGTAGATCCAGGGCTTCCAGCAACATTTTCATTTCACGAAGTAAAATTTAAAATTTTTTAACTATTTTTTTTTATTTTATTCATTTATTTTCAGAGGGGAAGCGAGGGAGAGCACATCAATGTGTGGTTGCCTCTCACGCGCCCCCCACTGGGGGGACCTGGCTGGCGACCTAGGCACATGCCCTGACTGGGAATCGAACCTGTGACCCTGTGGTTCACAGGCTGGTGCTCTCTCCACTGAGCCACACCAGCCAGGGCTTAACCTTATTGTTAAATTTTAAATTACATCTTGTTTATAGGTTTTACTTTTGAGAGGTAATCAAACACAAATGACTCCATTTTTGAGAAGAATAATCACACGAATGTTCTAGGTATGGAACTTGAATACAGGTGGCCTTAGTTCCAAAAGACCAGAAGAATTTTCTCATTAGTTTTACTCTTCGGCTTTATGATATTTTTAAATTTCTTATAGTTGATTTTTAAATTTTTAAATCCGAATTTAAGTAATAGTTTTTGATTAAAAACATTATAATCTCTGAGGATAACATTAAACTGAAAAGGCTAATAACATGAGAAGTTTGAGAAGTGTCACTTTCTTTTTTGTTTCTATGACTGTGTTTTGCGATTATTTCAGAACTGTATACTAGGCATGTCCTTTTTACCCCCGTTTGAATAGGTTAATCTTCAGTGGCTAAAGCAGACGGCTTGCTGTGCACTAATGTGGAATTGGCAGTGCTTTTAGTACTCAGGTTTCTTCGAGATTATTAAATAAGTGGTAATCCAGTTTTTAAAATTGTAAGAATAGATGCTACGGCTGATCTTGGCCAAAAGGCCTAGAAGCGATGTGATAATCCAGCGTTTAAACCAGAAGGTTTTCTGTTGGCATTGAAAAGGTCCTTTCTTTCATTCTCCCCTTCTGTTACCTTCTAAAAAAATGAGTTATCATTTTGGAATTGATGACATAGAAAGCTTATTCTTTATGTTTAGTATTTAAACAGGAGAAAGTGGGACACTGGCTTAGGAAGGCAATTTAACACTTTGTGTTTCTTGTTTTAACCTGGCTCACAATCATCTATCAAGTTTTTCAATACATTTTTGTTCTGTTAGAAATGAGGTTTGAAGAAAAATCTAGAATATGCTTGGGGCTCATTGGCCTCTTAAATTCCACAAAGTACAAAAGACAGGCCTATTGCCCATCACCTAGTCCCCGACAGAACCTCTTTCATTTCTTCCATCTTTTCTCCTCTTCTGCCCATTTCTGTTCTGCCTCTTAAGCCCTGAACCCCCAGCTTCCTACTCTGGCCTTCTATGTTCTGCTCTCCAGCCTCAAAACAGAAGTCCACACTGATACCGGGAAGGAACCCGAAAGCCTCCTCGCAAGCCCCAGTGGGTGCTCCTGGGCTGTGGACATCCAGCTCCGCCACTCCCCTGCCTTGCGGACCCCTTCCTGTGCCCTGGTCACTGTTGCTCGCTGTGTCCGTGGGGCCGGAGCAGCCACGGGAGAAGCCTCCTGCCCCAGGGGGCAGCTGTCTCTCCCGTTTGTAGGAGTGGTCAGTTGGCTTGCAAGGCTGCATTTTCCCCTTATCTTCATCCACGTACTTGAGGTGGCCCAGAACCCAGCCCCCTGAGGGGGTCAGAGTGAAGGGCCGCAGGGTGTGAGGCTAGGAAGCCCCTAGGTTTGCTCCCTTAATTCGCCCACAAGGCGTGGTGAGTGTGGCGAGCCCGTGCGTCCCCACTAGACTCCTGTGCCCAGTTTATGGAAGAAGGACCCCAGACCCACGTTAGGATTGTCCATGACTTGTAATCTATCATAGGCAGTATTTACTGATTATGAGCTAGTTTAGCTTTCACGGGGGAGAGTGAGACAGTTTTTCTAGACTTCTTCGCTTTAAAGCCAGCCCCCGGGGCAGGGTGCTGCAGGGAACCCAGCAGGCTTTTGATCAGCTGGGTGTTTTGTCCATATCTCTGGGGGGGAATAAACTGATCAGAAAACTTAGTTTGCATTCTTTGGAAATTCCCCCTTTCTCTCTGCTTTGAAGGAAACGGGGAAAGGAAGATGGGAGGCTGGAAAACTGGAGGCTGTCCCACCAGGGCAGGCTGATGCAGCAGGAAGGCCTCGTTAGACCGAACCTCTGTGTGAAGCCGCAGCCCCTCGGGGGTGGCGAGTAATGAGCTCCTGATTATGCAAAGATCAGTTTACCGGCCTCTTTGTTTTTCCTCCTTCTCTCTCACTGCCTTGGGCATCCGTCATTTCCTATCGCCTTCTCCGTTTCTGCCCTTGGGCTGACCCAGAGGATTTCCCCAGTTTACTTTCATTAGAAAAAGAGTTAGGCCACTTTATTGGAGCCATGGTTGTTTTGTCTTAAGGTTAGACACAGACGAATTTTACAGAAGAGTTCCTAAGTAATTTTGGGGGCCACGTAGGTTGACTGAATCAAATATAATTAATCAATCATCATAATTTGTTTCAGTAGCCTGTTAGAGCATATGAAATCCTTTCTCCTACCACACACGGTCCTTGCAATGGTGCCTAGCGTGTAGAAAGGATTCATGAAATATTTGTCAAACATTGAATGAATGTATAAAGGTTTTGTGAGATAAATAGGGTTGGTATTTTATCAACACTTTTAAAATGAGAAAAATTAAATTGCTTTTCACTTTTAGCTCAAAACTCATACAGATATTAAGTTGGTTCTTTTTATGCCACAAAGCTCTTTAAGGAGAGGGCGCTGTTAAACCTGTTTTCCGCGAGCTTTAACTGTATCACAGCGAGGATGGCTTTTTTAATGAGGCGGAAAGCTGGGCTGTGTTCTCTGCAGGGAGGTTCTGGGGCCTGCCCGCCTCTTCATCTCGATCCCTCGGAGGCGCCCCTTCGTGTTCGCGGAGCTGCCCTCCCCGAGTGCCCGGAAGTGGGCCTCGAGGACCCCAGACATCACCGGAAGAAGGAAATGCCAGTGTCTTACCCCTACTCTGCCTGTTCCCTTTCGCTTGACTGTTCTGATTGGCCTTTCCGTTCTGTGGTACCAACATGAACTTATTGTAGTGGATTGTGCTCTTAAACAAATCGTTTTTCTTTGAAAGAAGGAAATTGGTGGATTTTCAGTTCCTCCAGCAAATAGTTACCAGTCACCCACTGTGTGCTGGTTGCTTCTCGAGGCTCTGGGAGGGAGTCCGCATCAAAATGAGCCCCCTGGCTTGGGCAGATTGCATCCTCGTGGGGGGCGGCGGCGGGCACACCAACCCAGCGGAGGGGCGCGGCGTGCGAGCAGGCGGCGCGTGAGGCTCCGCGGAGCGGGGCCGGGGCCGGCGCGCCGAGGCCCGCGCCGCCTCTGTGTCAAGCTCTGTTTCGCCCCTGGCCCGGGAGCGTCACCTGACGCGGTCTGTCTGCCGGCCGGTTTCTCACCTCCCTTCCTTCCCGGCCCCCGACGGCATACAAACTCCACGAGCGCAGCGGCGTCTTTTCTGCTTGGTCCGCCATCCCACCCTCAGGGGCCAGAACAGGGCCTGGCGCGCAGGAGGTGCCCAGGAAGCAATTGGGGGCGTCTTACCCGGGGTGGCCAGCGTAGGCCTTGCTGGTGTCTGACTGGAGAGGTGACAGACGGGCTGTGTCACGTGGTTCCGAGGCTCGGTGTCCCAGGCCGAAGGGCAGTGTGGCCGCAGCCGGGAGGGAGAGGAGTCAGAGCTGGGGTCAGAGGGCACCCCGGGGCTGTGGTTGTCGCGGGAAGGCTAAGGGCGGTGGGCTGCTGCGGGCGTGGGTGACCGAGCGGCACTGCCGCGGCTGCGGTGCGGACGAGAGACCCACCGGAGGCCCCTGCGAACCGGGCGGGGGCGCACGGGGCGGGGCGAGGGCAGGCGGCCCCAGTCTGCGTTTGCGGTGCTGAAACCCCACGCGGGGAACTGAGCTGTGGAGCTGATGGGCGTCGGGCTGCGGGGAGGAGACGGTGTTCAGGGCGGCTGGGTGGGGCCGCTTGTCTGACAGAGGACAGGGTCCCAGCCTGGGGCACAGATGCGGGAGGGTGGGCGCTCGGGGGGAGGTGCTGACGCCCCGGGCCGGGGTGAGACCCCCAGGGTAGCCGTCCCCAGCCCTTTTGGCACCAGGGACCGGTTTCTGGGAGGACAGTTTTAGCTCGAACGGCCCGGGGGTGGTTTCGGGTGATTCAAGCGCATTGCCTTCCCGCTCACCTCCCGCTGTGCGGCCGGTCCTAAGAGGGCAGGGACCCGTGCCAGTTTGAGGCCGGGGGTTGGGGGACCCCTGCCCTGGGGAACAGGGGTAGAAAAGGGGGGCCCCGAGGACCGAGGCGTTTCCGTGTTCGGGGAGCGAAGGCAGGAGGACGGGTCAGCGGGGGCTTGAGACAGATCCGCAGGCGCGGTGACAGGGGCGCCCAGGCGCTGGAGCAGGAGGGGCACTCGCCCCCGTCCTTGCGGAGAAACGAGCACAGAGTCAGGACTGGGGACGGAGGACGCTGAGGTGACCCTGACACACTGCGACGGGGTAGGCAGCGGCGTGTTGGCTGGAACGGGTTCGGCGAGAAGACGGAAAAGGGACGACGGACAGCAGACAGGAGAATCGGTTCTGCCGGAGAGCCGGCGCGGCCGCCGGGGCGGTTTAGGCCGGGCGGCTGCGGGTTTCCGAGCTGACGGCCGGGCCTGCGCTGCCCCCGCGGCCGGCGGGGACCCCGTTCCTCCAGCAGTCACTCGCGCAGGCACGGGACCAGGAGCCTGGCTTGCTTTCCTACGGCAACATGGAGACTCTTTGGAATTTATGAACGAACTTGTTCCCAAAATAAACTGGTTGGCTCACTAGAGTGAAAAACAGAATTATTTCTCAGAGGCAGAGGGAATCCCTTTTCATAAAAATGAGGTTTTTTTGTTTGTTCTGACCACTGTTCTGAACTGTATAGTTTGCTTTTGGGCTTAATTGATTTTTCTAATGTTTCTGTTTTTTAAACTTTTCAGGCCGGAGTGAGACAGCTTTATGTACAGATTGACTTTGCAGCCATGTAAGGAGCGAGAAGAAGCTGGGCTTCTTCGGAGACCGACCTTCCCGGTACTGTACGTAGCGTTTTAACCGAGAGGAGGCGTCACTGCCGCTCCCCAGCGCCGGCCGGGCGGGGCAGCCGCGTGCGCCCTGCGGGGGTCGGGGGTCCGGTTGAGACCCCCCCTGGACTTCTGCTCTGGTCCTTTGTACTCCCCCCTCCAAACCACTTTGATTTCTGAGCTTTCTGGTTTTGTCCCAGGGTGTTGTTTTTTGTTTGTTGGTTCGTTTCTCTTTTCTTTTTTAATTTCCAATGTCCTCATGCCACCCCTCTGACCAGCTCGTAAAAAGTGCAGATGTGGGCTTCTGGTCATCTGGAAGGCCTTCACTGAAGTGGCTGGAAACCGCCTTCTTCCTTCCCACAAAACCAGTGTTATTAAAAAAAAAAAAAAAAGAAATGGAAATCTGTTTTATATGTAATGTCACAGTTGTTGACGTTCTTCAGTATAATCATATGTTTGTGAAATTGTTTGTACCTTGCAAACTTATGAACCAAACCATATTGGGTTTTCCAAGTGCCTTCGTCTCAGAAAATGTATTTGCCAGCAGAGAAATTTACCGTCAAAAGTCATGTGTGTTTTTTAAATGGATATTCTGTAATCTGTACAAAGTAAGACACTCTTGTTAGTAACGTATACAGATTGTCATTCTGTGTGCTTCAGCGGAGGTTTAGATGTATAGAAATTTTCTTTTATTGTTTTGTCTCATCAAAAAATAAAAGGTAATTTTTTGCTTTTTAAATCAAATTCAACTATCACATTAAATTATTTTGTGGATTGTTTCCAAAACATGCAATTGCATCTGTTATAAAGGTAGTTGTTTTGACTTTCTCCAACTGCTAAATTCCAAATTTCTACAGAAGCTACTGTGTCTATGACGAGCTTTCCTCTGTTCGTCCTTGCTGTGTTTTGTGGGTTTTACTGATGAAGGAAAAGGCAGCATGGAGCAAAGACGGAAATGGCTGCGACGGTGTCCTTGGCTTCGTCTTGCCTCAAACGCCAAGCCGCGCGCCCCACGTGCCTGCGTGGCCATAGCCGGGTGCCCCCAGCAGCCACTGCTGCGTCTGGGCCGGCGGAGGCCGGGCACACGTGGGACTGGGGAGCTCTTCGCGACACAGGCGTCTTGGGAGTTCACCGGTGAGCTGATTGCCAAGTGCCTGTGTCTTTGGAAAGTAAAACTGCAATTTGAGATGACAGGCGCTTGACCAGTCTGTGTAAACATTCTGTCGCATTTGTACTTCGTTGCACCGCAATGTGTAGCCCCTTTTAAGTTTAAAAAAGTGAAATTGTTGGGGGTTTAAAACCCGGCAGGATGGTAGTGAATGTTGAGATGTAGGTCGATCATAAGCACTTTTCACAGCTGCAGCGGAAACTGCTGTAGATTTTGTCTAAGGTCTAGAGTGTCTTTTTCCCTATTTCTGGCCCACGATTTATGAACTACTCTGTATTAGGGAAACTGAACTGCTCTCTTCACGCTTCTTTCTCTAAACCCCTGCAGATGGCCACGGACTCTCCGTGGCCTCCTCTCTGCAGACTAGTATTTTCAAACCCTTTTTTCTTACTGCCGGGCAGCTCTGAAGCTCCGCGTTCCTGCAGTGGAACGCGCGCAGCTGCAGCAGCTGCTGAGCTGCATTGGGCAGGGGGACGTACACAAGCATGTGTCCTGAGGATGGTACCGCTGCTTTGTCGTGAGTGTCAGAGGGAAGTCACTTCGAGGTCTCACCCACGGCCAAGCCTGCTGGAACCCTGGGTCGCTCACTGGGTTCAGGCTTTTACGGGAAGTGACTTCCAGGCGAAGTCAGGGATTTAGGACATGTGTCTTTAAAAACTAACCGTGTGTAATTGTAATGATATTTCACATGTGGAGAGAATATCTGCACTGGCTTGTAAAATTTATGAGTGGTTTTGAAGGTCCAATTCTGCCTTTCACTGAGCGCCCTGTTCCAAGCGAAGCTTTTGTCAGTGTGCAAAGTGCAGGCGTGTGGGCTTTTTTCTTGGGTAAGACCTTGACTGTATGGAACACCAGAGCGATAGGGAAATCTAATTTTGCACCTGCCACCGAGAGTGCCAGCTCCTATCGTTTGGCTGGTTGGCTTTAACATTGATGCTTTAATTAAATGTTTTTAAACTTGCACGTGCAGCAGTAGAAAATTAGAGAGAAAAAGCAGTTTGTTTCCACACCCTCAGGAATTGCTCTGTTTTACTGGTATTCCTGGCCCAGATGTGCAACTGAAGCAGATGATTTCGCTGAGAAATAGCTACTCGATTATTGTTATAAAATAAATTTAGAATGTCCCTATCGTTGGGCCGACCTTGGAGGGGGAGGTGGAAACCTCAGTATCTGAGTATAACTTTGCTTATATTTGAAAAACCAAAATATTCTCAGAGACCACATTTCTCTTGCTCAGGGAAAGTTTACTTTGCCAAGTAAACGTCCCCAAGCAGAAATATCTACACTAGTTTTGTGCTTTTGAGTCTAGATTACTCTGACCAGGAGGAAGGGCTCCCCCTGTAGGCCCCCTTCTCTTGCCCAATCTACTCCACTCCCCGCCCCCCCGCACCTTTGTGAGGGACAAGGCCTAGTGTGTCCGTAGCTCCGTGTTCCCCACGGCCACCCCCATGCCATCCTCTGCCGAGGCCGGAGGAAGTGTGGTCACATGTCCTTGGCACTCTGATTCCTCTGCATCCAAATGCCTCAGCGTTGAGGCCAGGAACCAAAATGCTGTGACCGTTGTGCACTTTGTAAAGCAGCCAAGTCACCGACCCCCAGTGCAGTCGGGCCGAGTCCTCTGATGTTTTTTCGCCTGTGTCGTCCATGTCGTAGATGAGTAACGTGAGCGTCCCCTCAGAGAACGCTGGGGTTTAAGAACTGAAACATTCCGTTGCTTGACACAGAATTTGACACCTGAGGCGACTGTCCTTCGCAGCAGTCTGTTCTACCTCTCATTTTCCAGATGAGAACGTCAAGCCCAGAAAAGCTGGCCTTTCCTCAAGGTCGCAGAGACCAGTAGTGGCCAAGCCAAGACTGGACGCCAGGTCTTCCGACTTGCGGTGCCACCGCTTCACGGGCTGCCTGCCTTTCTGTAAATGTGACGAGAGAGCATTTGTAAATAGAGGACCTCTGACCTCCATTTTTGGTACATGATTGCACTTTATAAATGGAGTTTTACTGTCTTATTTTTCATATCTAATGATGCAGTTTAGAATATTATTTCCATAGTATTCCTTATGGAAGAGATAATTAAATTTTTTACTCTATTTTTACTTTTTTACTCTTGTGAAGCCAGTTCCTGATTTTTACACAATTGACGACGTCTGTGCATTGGACCCGTTTCACCTGTGAGTGGATTTTCCTGCTCATTTGCCCGAGGCTAAATGAAGTGGGAAGCTCTCTTGGTTTCTCCCTTTTGTGTGCATTCTGTGAACTCCGGGTCTTTGTAGAAGCCAGGTTCGCTGGCAGGCCCTGTCATTTCAGTCTTGCTCCTTCATCGCTCAGTCACTGGAGAGCTTGCGAACGGTCTGACGTTGTCCTCAGAGCCACACAAAATTGGGCAATAAATCTTGTATGGAACAAAATAAATTCTTTCGTTCAGTAGGGTGAAATTTTGAACTCTTAAATCAGAATCCCAAATGCTAAACTGTTACTTTCAAGTCTCCATGTAAGCATTAATCATCTTGAGAAAATTTTTTTTGGTCACCATCTTCAAAACGAGTTTCCGATTCACAAGACCTTTGGAAAAAAAGAAACTATCTGTTTCTGTAAAGAACATTGATCAAAAGTTTTAATAATGGGAGATTGTTTCAAGACACATCCCCCAGAAGCCTTAGTGATTCCGATCTCAGCCACAGAATCAAGATAGGCGTTGGTTTCTGTTTAACCATTTTCTAACTGAAATTATCCAGAAAGTTTGGGGTCTAACCTTTATCAAGTGTTCCTGAGTCAGGCTTTCTGCGTGGCCTTTCTCATGTTATCGTGTTTGAAATCCTCACGTTTCTATGAAGAATTTTATATGATTTTATGATTGACGGAGTGTTTTCAAATACACTTTCTCCTGATTCTCCTGCCGCCGGGGAGGGAGGGAATCGTGCCCTGTTCCCCAACTGAGGAAGCTGCAGCGAGAGTGAGCAGCCTGCCCGCGAGGAGCGGTGCGGAGCATCGGCACCAGAGTCCGGGCTTTCTCTGGACCTTGTCCCTATGTCTGTCTTCTCGAGTGAGTTCAAGACCCCAGAGGTGGCAGCAGAGCCAACTGCCCTGCTGCTACCCTGCTGTAGCCCACGAAACATCACTGTGGCGGAGCAGGCGTGGGGAGCGAGCAGGCCTGGGGAGCGGCTGTGGCAGTGGCTCTTTCTGTCACCTCTTTTGCTCACTCCCTGCCTTTGCCATTGAACTGAAACTGCAGGCCACAAAGAGCGATCAGAACTCCTTTCAGCACTCTTTTAAGAACTTCAAAAAAAAAAAAAAGTAGCAAGTTTTAGTGACACTGGCGGAGGAGGAAGCTGCTGTTTACCCAGGACTGGCCGGCTGAGTCGGGAGGGGCGCCCGGCCAGCCAGCGGCGCCCTCCTCCTGCGGGGCGGGCTGCAGAGCGCTCTGTGCGGCCTGAGGGCGGCGCCTGGGGTTGATTTGCATTTCATTTTATGGACACCTTTTCAAAAGGAGTAAGTCTAGTTGATACTATTTAACTCTGAACTCTTCCCGCGGCTCCCAAAATTTATCATCAGTGATTTTGCCGATGGCGTTGGAAGAAAAACGAATGTCTCATACACCCTAGGACTCCCGAACTCAGCACGGATTTACAATGCGCAGAGTCCGTTCAGTGAGCAAGGCCATGGTGTAGTCAGGGTTGGGGCAGGTAAGACCGGTTTAGTGCAAAGCCTCCTCAGCTCTTCTTGGGCATTTTTGCACATAGATGTGGCTTTACATTCCCTTAGGCCATTCCTCCCCCCCACCCCCCCCCCCCCCCCCAGTCCCCGTGAGCAGGTCGTCTACCTTAATGCAGAAGCAGCGCAAACGCAAAGCCGGGGCTGTTTTGTATGCAGCTGGAGGGGGACTGGGCAGAACAGGGCCTGGAACCCGGGTCACTTGAATTTTGTCTCTTGCATCCAAGTTAAGAAGCCATGTTGTCTCCTTTGTTTTTAAGGGAAGTTGCCATATTCATATCGTTTTAAAGGCCTGTGCAGAGCATGTCTTCTCCTTCATTTGTCCCAGATGTATTGGCCAAAACTCTTCCCAAGAGACACCATAAAGGTGCTTCTGTAATAACACTATGTGTAGTCAGCGATTTAAATGTTCCTGGGATAGTTTTGAATCTTTTTTCCCTCTTTTCCTCCTAGACGCTAAATTTTAGTAGCGTGTCTCTGTATTTCTTCATTTACTTTTCATCCCTTCTTGTTGCTCCCGCCTGTGTATTCCCCTCCTGCTTGAGTCAGCAAAGCTTTACTTGCGTGAATTTTGTTTCCGTCTCTCATGCCATGCAGCGATGAGGCTCGGTGAAAATTTTGTGTTGAACTAGATGTATCTCTGACGAGAGTTTGCCAGGTAGCCCTGTTGCTTCCTCTAATAGCAGCAAGTTCAGTGACATTTCTGCCCAAATGAGATTTTTGCCCCAACATCTGTGATTTTAATCAATAAACAGAATGGGCCTTATATAGCAGAAATACTGTGAATGAAAAATTGCCTAATCCTTTCCTGGTATATTCCCTACGCCCCTTCAACACCTGACCTCCTGTCTTGAATGGTTTCTAAGCATGTGGCCCAGTTTGAATTTGGGTTTGATTCCTTCGGTGGAGATGGTGGCACCACACGTTCCTAAGGCCAGGCTGGAACGTCCGCTTCCAAGACTTGTAATTTGGTTTGCACATGCGCGAGGGAGCAACCGATTCGCCGAAGTACAACAACTCTGTAATGTAGACTTCACTTTTTGTTACCTGAAGACATTTTTGTATGTTTTGTTTAACCTCAGATGTATTTAAAAAGAGTAAATGACTGTATTAGAATTCTTCCAATAAAATTGCTGTTTAAAAATTTTTACCTGACTCGTGTGTGTCAGTTTGAGGCACCAAAAAGAACGGTGACCCTGACAGCCCCGGGGACGGGCCCCGGGGACGTGGGAAGGGGGGCAACGGGGAGGCGCCCGTGGCCGGGCAGCCGCAGAACCCGTGGAGCCGGGACTAGGGTCTGAGCCCGTGCCCGGCGCCCTGTGGCTCTCGCTCGTCGCTGCACCGCAGAGCCGTGTCTCGGCACCCATTTCCAGACACTTCCACGAACGCCCGTTGTTCTGACCTCATTCTCGCGGGGTGAGCTCGGCGAACACTGGACGCAGGCCAAAAGCCTCCGACGGGAGCGTCCACGGACCCGCCAGTCGTTCTGCCCGCCGTCAGAAGCGATTCTTTGTCAGAGTGCGTTTCCCACCCACCAGGCCCCTCCTCCTGCCCCCTCGGCCCCCCTCGTCCGAAGCAGCCCTATGCCGGTGTCCGTCCAGGCCCCACAGCGAGGGCCTGTCCTCTGTGTGAGGTCAGACAGCTCGTGTGTGGTCCGCACGGGCTTCCTCCACTTCCTTCCAGCCCTTTCCCTGGCCCCTCGAGGCGGCCCCGCTCCTCCCCAGCTTGTAGCAAATCCAAGGCCATCCGTGGTTTCTCGTCGCAGCCGTGGCAGAAGTGCCACGGTCTCAGATTCAGCAGAGGAACTGGAAGGCTGAGCCTTCCCCCTCAGGTCTTGGCACTTTAACGTGGCCACCGCCATGTCCTGAAGCCCCTGTCACAAAGCCCTTCTCTTCGTTCCCGTGACCCTTCAGAGTCACCTTCTGCGTCCCCACCGCCCTGTGTGCCTCTTGGATGACCGTGTGCAGTCACTCTGAGGGACTGCCTGGCTTCCCATCTGCCCCAGGCCGCACCCCTACCCCAAACAGCCCTGGCCTTCGGCAGGAAGCCGAAGAAAATCTGCTGAGTGAGACTCAAGAAAATCTGCTGAGTGAGACTCAAGAAAATCTGCTGAGTGAGACTCGCGCGCAGGCCTTCTGAACACAGCCCCCGCCCTGGTTTCCTGACTACCTTCTGGGCCCGTCTGTGTCCTGCACTTTGACCTGCCGGGTCTCCAGCACCTGCCAGGACCCCCTGCCTTTCCGATGTTCCCTGGAACTGGCCTCTGACCCACCTGAGGCCTGCCGTGACCTGCCCATACCCCCCAGAGCAGCCCCCTCTGTTCACACGCAGGGTTTTCGGCCCATTCCTCATGGCCGTGTTTCCCTGCCCGACCTGGAGAGGTCTCCCTCCCGAGCGTGGCCCCTGTGTATTCTTCTAAAACGCCCAGTCCCCGCCCCCGCGGTGCTGGCTCCCAGGTGCCCGCGGACTCCAGGTCCCTCTGAGCGGCTCTGGAAACCCCTTGTCCTTCGCTCTGTGGCCAGCCCCATTACCCACGATAGGGTGACAAGCCAACCCTTTGTTTCTCTAGGCCAGGGAGACAGCGAAGACGGAGGAGCAGGCAGGACCAAGACAAACGCAGGTACAATGACAGCGACTTAGAACTGGTCATTCTGTACAGAAAAGAAAGAAAGGAGGACTCGAATGGGACTGAAACTGCGAAAATCTGTCCGCTCATCCAGTTGTACTTCAGGCTTTAAAAACATTTACCGTGAGGTTCAGGCTCAGCGCACACACTACCAACATGTAAGTGAGCAAGGTGCCTTTTTCTGTGAATTCCTATAACCAAGAGGAGTTGTAATGGCTGCGGGGAGATAACACTCCAAGGCAGCGAGACAGCCGCTGCCAAAGCCAAGGACTGAAAACAAAACAATGCAAAAACAGGAGCACGTCCCAAAGTCCTTCCTGCATGTGGGCACATAATAGTATTTTAAAAGGGTAGAAGCAGGCAAATAACTCAGGTTCACATCTCAGCACAGGCCGTTGCGCAGCAATTAGAATCCTTGGTCACCACGTGGAAAATTATAAATAAAGTGAGGTCTGTGGGATTCGCTATCCCCGCTTCCCACCCCGGGGCCCTCAGGTCAGACCGCTGTTCGTTTGACAAGGCAGTTACCGCACGGTTGGTTCTATTCGTTGGAGCCACAGCTCCCCGCTGGCTTCCAAAGACGCCCCAGGTGACCCTGCCCTGGTGGCCAGCTGCTGGGGAAGCCCCAGGCCACCCTGTGATGGGCGCTCTTCTCCGTGGGGCAGAGCCCTGACTTCGGGCAGAACCCCATTGCTTCCCCCTGCTCCCGTGCCCTGGCTGCAGGGGTCAGGATGGAGGCCCGATCGTGAAGGTATGTGGCACAGCGGCAGAATTCAGTGACTAGACGCCAAGTTTCTGGCCAGAGACAATCTGCAGATCCACCCTTGTCACCCGTATGTGGACCCGGTCTTCCTTCGCGCTCGCGCACGGCCCCTCTCCCCCGGCAGTGTGGCAGCCCACTCACGGCCCGCGCGCACCCCTGGGAGGCAGAGGAAGCCCACGCAGACGCGGGGAGAACACGCCAGCTGCACACGGACGGGCCCCAGCCGGGAATCCACGTTCTTCCCTTCACCGATGCTGCCGCCGCACGGTATTCCAGCACCTGCTGCACCGGGGCGTGAAGCTGCCTGGCATCGCCCCCGGCGCCGAGGCCACGCCCTCCTGCCCTCCTGCCCTCCGCCCCTCGCTGCCTCCTCAGCGCTGCTAGTTTCTAGTCCCCTGTCGCCTGCACTCTGCCAAGTCCCACCATTTGGGTTGGGGGTTGGTGGGTGGGTTCCCAGTTCTCTGCTGAGAGCAGTCACCTTCACTCATTCGTTCCAAACGCCTCTCCTTTTCCTCCTCGAATGTGCCCGAGCTGCTTTGACATTCTGTCTGTGGATTCCAGTATCTGGGCTGTGTGAGGGTCTCCTTCTGCCCATACCTCCTACTGTATGGCAGCCTAGTCGCGGTTGCTGCTGGAGACCCGTTTGGTTATCATGCCCTGACAGGGGGAAGCTCTGTTCTATCTGCAGTGAAAGTACTGGCTGGGCACCTTGATTTTAGGGCACGTTACAGGTTTTGCCCATAGTCTCAGTGCAGATCTTTTGTCCTGGGCAGAACCTTTATTACTAATACCTGGCCGTTCCGAGGACTGGATGGCAAGCCCAAAATGCTTACCGGGCCTTCTAACTTGTCAGAACGCAAATTCAAAACTGTCTCCTTGCACAACGAGCAGGACCCTCTGCTCAGCTTCTCCAGCCGCGGCTGTGGCTTTCCCTGGGTCCCCACCGCACGCCCACAGTGCGGGAGTTAGCCCGAGACGGCAGAGGTCGCGAGCAGGTTGGCAGCCTCCCCCCGCACCGCGAGGGTTCCCTCCTTCAGTGGACAGCCCCTCTAGTGTCCAAGCTCCTCAAACACCTCCAGCCGGTGGGACCAAGCTGGTGAGACCACATTTCCTCTTGAGCTCCAGCCGCCCCTCCCCCGTCAGATGGCCTGGAGGGAAGCCAGGTAAGAGAGTTCCCGGCCTGCTTCGGTCTCTCCTCAGGGCCCCGGCAGGTCGTATACTACATTCCGCCCCGAGCCATAGCTGCGGGGGCTTGTGCATGAGGAGCTACCCCGCCATTACCAAAGCCAGAAGTCCTTCGTTTTATAATTCCTCAGTGTTCGGTGTAACGCCTCAGAAGAAAACAAGGCAGAACTGGCCACTTACGTGTCCTCAGCTCTCTCCCCTTTGTGTCCAGTTGATTAAAAAATGGAATGTTTCCTAGATGTTAAAATCTTTTACCTCAGATAAATAAATTAAGTCAAAATAATGTCCTGCTAACAGATGTTCCCAGGAAGACAAGAGGTGTTTGTTCAGCTTGCAACGAACTTACTGAGCAGACACACAGACTAGGCATGGAAATGCTGAGTTAGAGCGGCTCGGCGACAGTGTCACAGAGCTTTTTCTGTTGTGAACTAACAGACAGTATAAAACTCTATGCTCATGAGACAATAAATGGAGTGTTATGTACGACTGATAAGAACGTGACTACATGCACCTATACAGTGGCATACGGGGTTAAGAGGAAGGACGAAGCTTGACTGATCACCACTGCATTCAGACTTAATTTTTTTTAAATTTTATTTTGTAGTCAGAAAGTTTTCCAATTGTCGGCCTGGGTGTGAAAGTTGCTATTTAAAACCAAAGAGCAACTATACATGGCTGGCTGCACATTTATATTCAACGCTTACATAATATATAATATGAGCTCCGTAATTAGGGTGTCGGCGATTCAGAGGGAGTCGCTCGGTGGCACGTGCTCAGACGAGCTTCAGCGAGGTGACGCGCCCTGCCCGCCTCCGTGTGCACAGCTGTCCCGCCGCCGCCGGGCGGCTCCTCGGCGGTTGGGACAGCCGACTTCTGAAGGAAGGGGAAGGTCCGCCCTATACAGATGCATTCATAACGAGAAGCTGCTTTTCAAGGCCTCTGTTGGAGGGTGTCCAGGTACAAGCTTCCCAGCGAGGTCTGGTCCACGCGCTCACCTCCTGAAAAACTGGCAAAAGAGCAGCGCCCGCTGATGATGTCGGAGGGAAAGCTCCCGGCCATAGGAGGCCGAGCGTTGAGTGACGTGACAGCTTTCTCCTTGGGCGCCAGTTCTGTACTTCCTGGGCACACGGAAGACCTGTCCCCTTGGTCAGAGAGAGCGGGCGCCGGGGCTGAAGTCAGCCTCCACGTCGGAGCCGCCTGTGTGCGGCCCGGCGGGGCCCTGGGACGCGGAGCTGGCCGCCGGCACGGGGAACAGGCTCAGCATCTCCGCCTCCAGCGGGTGCAGGCTGCCTCCGGTGATGACCAAGGAGTGCAGCGGGCCCCCCAGGTCCACGGAGCACATCTGCCGCAAAGTGCCCGCGGCGAGTTTCTGGTCCTCGGCGCCGACGCGGGCCAGGCCAACACACAGCGTGTCCTCGGTGACTGCTGCATAAGGAAAGAGGCCGCCATTCAGTCCCACAGACGCACCGCTCTGTCCCACGGCCAAGCCAACACCCGTACCAGGAGGGCAGTCAAGGGAGCCACAGTGATCTAATTTAAGGCGTTTCTAGTTCTTTGTGTGCCTGACCCATAAAGTCGCACTGCCCACCTCTTGGCCCTTTCAGAACACAACGGCTGGCAACCCCAGCGTAAGTGTTGAGGATTTGATAAGCCATGCCTGTGTCCACGCTCTTTAACATTGCATAGCATATGTCTTTCAACGGTTTCTGAGGCAACAGTGTTATCACATGCTTACGGTTTTAATAAGCTACTTGAGAGGTTCGCACGGACCAAGCTATACTGGAAAAACTACAGAATTATGAGAATTATCAGTGTACAAATCAGAGTTTCTGCTTGGCCACCTGATCCGCCAGGTGACAAAGTTCAGATTTTTCATTTTTTAAATGGGGGTTATACGGGCCAGGGTAGTAGGGACATAGAAGTATTTAGTAGACTGCAGAGCCCTTAAGAAATCATGGGCACTACGACATTGCTTCTACCCTCAAGGTCAAAACGGCCGGCACTCGCGAAGGCTGGTGTGGTGTGCTCTGCAGCGCCGCCCTCCCGTGGTGTGGCTGTTAGCTGGGAACTCAGCAGGCTGGCGGCAGGGACCCCGCAAGGTCACGGATGGGACACACCCTCGGAGACACCTGGCCTCCGGACATGAGGAAGGCCTACTAATGAGGATGCAATAGGCAAAGAACGACTTTCTGGGTCTTTTCTATCAGGAGGTAGGTGCTCAAAGGCAGTCAGCACCTTCAATTATAATGACTGGTTCATTTAAAAACCTCTCAGTGAAGATCTGCTGTCCATAAACATTTTATCATAAACTTTGCATTCTGTCTAGATTTTAGGAACACAAGGAAAAACCCTCTTGTCTCTCTCCTGAAGAAAACACGCCCTGGTCTCCGTGCTGAGTGAGAAAAAGCAGAATAAACATATTTTTGCAGGAAAAGCTCACTAGAGAGTTCTGTATTTTATTACAATATTTATATAGAATAACACATTTACTTCAAATGTGACTGATAGTTACTTTGTGAACAATCTTCGCTTTCTGGAGTGATACTGACATGTCTAGAAAGAACTCCTTTGCTTTTCTTGCACGACAGCTTTCGGCCTCTGAGATCCACGGTAAGGCTGTGCGCGCACAGCGACTCCCGGGCCAGTGGTGGTGGCCTAGCCACGTGTGCGTGTCTGGGGCCCCAGGATTCACATGTCGCAATGTGGGGGCTGGGGGGGGGGGGCGGGCCAAGAGAGCCCTGGGAGGCCTGGGGTACCTGGTTCTTCTCCTCGTGCTCTCTGGTTCTCAACGACCTCCAGCAGCTGCCGGGCTGCTTGGTTCACGGTCATGTAGCGAGGGGGCTCGTAGATCTTCCTTCCCCTGCAGGGAGAACACCGGGTGCCGCGGGGCTCAGCCGTGACACGGCGTCGGCGCACGAAGGCGAGCTCTCCCCGAGGCACGCTCGCCCCTACACCTGCGTGCTGGTTGAGGCGGCGGCCACCTCAAGCATCCCTAAAGCGCAAATACAGCGGTTTCTCTCAGCCTCTCAAGCTTTTTCCATTATTCTCCTTCAACTGCCCTCTGATCTCAGTGAAATGTTGGCAGAAACAAAAGGCCAACGACTTACATGCCTAACAGTTACCTTAATTCACAGCAACACCTTAGGCCAGCATATTTGGAAATGAGTGGCAACTGGTTCTGTATCATAGCTTCATCAGGCTCTACAGATCCGTTTTCACTGCCATGTTCAAACCACAGATCGCTCCTCTCGCTTCCTCCCCGGAGAAAGTAAAGTACACGGTAAACAGCTCAAAATCTTGGAGGGGAAGATACGCGTACGTCTGTAGGACCCAAAAGCCTATGGTGTCCGCCCAGTGATCACGATAAAAACAGAGCTTGCGCAGCTTATCCAACAGTTTGCATAGATTATTTTCAGACTTTCAAAACAATTCTTGAGTCAGGCTGTCCAAGAGAAATGCAATGCAGGCCGCAGGGGTAATTTAAAATTTTCTAGTAGCCGCATTGACAAAAGTTTAAAAAATGGCAAAATTAGTTTTAATAATACTTAGCTCAATGTATCCAAAACATTATACTGCAACATTTACTCCTATAAAACTTGTGAAAGAGGTTGCTTTTGTACTGAGTCTTTGAAATGCCATGTGATTTATGCTTATAGCACATCTTGATCCAAACGTTAAGTTTTCATTGGAAATGCTTGATCTGTATTTCGATTTCATAAAATTCATGGTTGTAAAAGTAGATTTACATACTGAAGTTGTTCTAAATCTACTTAGAAGTTTTCCAATAAGCAAGGTGAGTATTAGTTTCAAGCTAATTAAAATGAAATTATAAAGCCAGTTCCTCAGTGACGTGAGCCATGTGCCGAGTGCTCATCGGCCCCGTGGGAAGTAGCTACCATTTGGAGGCTGGCTCTCTAAGCCACGAAAGATTATTCCTCTCATTATTCACTGGAGAAAAAGGAGGCTCAGAGATGGAGGCAACCTGCCTGCAAGCCGTCACCAGAGGAAGCCCTGGACTCAGACCCCCGCCTTCTAACTGCAGATCCGTTCATTTGCTCCGCAGACACCGACTGGGTGCCTGTCCGGCGCTGACCACGGCGCTCAGTAACGAACCCATGAAATCTGTCGTCATTCCCACTCCATCACGCTTGCCGTAAGATGGGCAGTATTCAGCCCTGGCTGGTGTGGGCCAGTGGACTGAGCACTGGCCTGCAAACCAAAGGGTCACAGGTTCGTTTCCGGTAGGGGCACAGGCCTGGGCTGCAGGCCAGGTCCCCATAAGGGGCACACCAGAGGTAACCACACGCTGATGTTTCTCTCCCTCTCTTTCTCCCTCCCTTCCCCTCTGTCTAAATAAATAAAATAAAGATAGGAAGTATTTAATTTTTAACTGTAATGAAAGCTGATTTTCAACAATCTTTAGAACTGCTGTCATCGAAGCAGAACTTATTGAATTGCTCAACGGATTAAAATAGACGGAAGCAGTCTCCGAGTAAGACTTACCTGATGAGGTTTTCCAAAGACTGCTCCTTGACTTTGATGTCTGTAGGAAGTAATAAAATAGTTCTCTGTTAATGTAATTAATCACTGTTTCCAAAATCCTTTGTGTAAACCTACGTTTGGGGGAAACGTCCTTCCCAAGTATCTAGAAGCTTTTTAATGAAAAGACAGAGAGTGGAAGCCCACGGCTGCGTAAAGGCACCCAGTCCGGAGGCCAAGGCGCGGCGGGCCCGAGGCCGTGCGCGGGCGCTTCTGACCGCTGCTCCCCCAGCCCTGTGGCAATGCCGCATTCCCCCGGCTGGCATCTGCGCTAACCCAGGTGACAAGCGCCCATCCTCGGCTGTTTTTCAGGCACTGGAAGGTAAGTCTCAATGCATGTAACATACATACAGGGCAGCTCTTACTGCATACGCAAAAAGACTTTCGCCTTCTTATGAACGGTAAGCCGCGCCCCTGTAACTCATGAAGAAACGCTTTCACACTAAACAGTCAGATGTCAAGAGGCTTCCCCAAGCACGGACACCAGGCACAGGGGCGCTGGGGGCCAGGATGCACAGCCTCTGCTCGCGGAAGCCCAGCGGCCCCAGCGTCTCAGACGTGGGGCCCTCCGACCCCGGGGTCTCGGCCAGGCTGGCTGAGAATGAGGGGTGGCGGCGGCCGCAGCTGCTTCCTGCTCCCCGCGCTCAAAACAAGCGGGTCAGCCAGGGGTGGTGTTTGCAAAAACACGTGCCGGGCAGTGAGGTCTTGCTGACACGCTGCTACAGCTCTCCCCGTGCCTGCACAGCTCTTTCTTAGACAGGATGCTAAACAAGGTACAGCCGATTAGCCATCCATGTGCTTCTACGTGCTCTTGGAACCTGCAGCGGAAGTGTTTTTCTGGTTCAAAATAATCATTATTTAAGATTTCCGCGTATCTGGACATTCGGGGGAAGGTGTGTATCTGTTACTGAAGATGTGGCCTCCAGTACCATTAGCCGTATAAGTCTAAGTAGGTTTCTTTAAATGATTTCTGAAAGGTTTTTCACAATTTAACACATGTATTAATTCATTCACCTTCAGCTTATGAAATGTTATCTGCAGTTGTAAAGTTTGTAATTCAGTGTTTCCATTTTTTAAAAAATTTTTAAATAATATGCCGTACAGCAGCGATTTTCAACCTTTTTCATCTCATGGCACACAAACTACTAAAATTCTGCAGCACACCAAGAAACTCTATCATATTTTTTGCCAAGCTGACAAAAAAAAAAAAAAAAAATAGGTATGATTTTGATCCATTTGCACTAGATGGCTATTGTTGTGGTGGCTGTTTTTGTTTTTGACATTTAAGGGAAAAGATGTCAGTGCCCCTGAATAAATACTCAGGCGTTGCATGTTTTAAAAATTCTTGTGGCGCACGGTTGAAAAGCTTACCTTCTGCAAGAGCACGGATGCAGCCGGGGCGTATTACGCCCGGTGCAGTAAGCCAGTCAGAGAAAGACAAGCACCACACGACCTCACCTATAGGTGGAATCTAATGAACAAAAAACAAGCTAACAAAATAGAGACGGACTTACAGATACAGAAACCAGGCTAACAGCCGTCAGAGGGGAGGGAACTGGCCGAAAACGGTGAAGGGATTAAGAAACACACAAACACCTCGTAGACACAGAGGTCAGTGCGGGGATGACCAGAGGGAAGGGGGGTGGGGGAGGAGAAGAGGGTACCGGCGTCAATGGTGACACAAGGAGGCTTGGCCTGGGGCGGTGAACACGCAATACAATACACAGGGGATGTGTTATATAGAATTGTACCCCTGGAACCTGTATAACTTTATCAACCAATGTCACGCCAATAAATTCAACTAAAAAAGAAATCACTGCTCTACAACACTGTATTTTAAAAATGGGGAGGAATGGGGGACTTTTGATAGGTACGTGCTTTGCAATCGACCATAAGGGACTCGATCTCAGCCCAGGCCAGTCTTGGTGTCTTTTCCTTGTCAGGGAGGGGCCATAATTATTCCTCTCCTCCTACTTGGTAGCATGTAAGCTTCTCCTGTTCACCGCAGAGCCAGGGCCCAGCGTGATGCCGAGTTCGGGCTGGATACCGCACACGTCTCCTGCATGAATGTGCCCACCCACCAGCCCGCCCTAACTATGCACCCGGAAGGAGCGTTAAGTCCTGACTCCTTCATGAGGCCTTTGTCGCTCTTGGGAACATCTATACAGCTAATGCTATATTTTACCAGTCTCTAATTGTATCCGATATATTGGTCTTCTCTTTCCAAATAAACTTTAAATTTTCCGGGGCTTCCTACCATGGTATATGCTCACCGATCCCAAAGGGTTTGGCCCCAAGGCGGGCATTTAATAAACACGCACTAATTAAATGACAAGGCTCCAGATGACTAAACGATAAGAACTACGGTTTGAGGATTTGGCATCAGGGTATCTTCTACTTCACACCTTGTTCCTGCTTTTGTTAATGGAGCAAGAAAGATATATTGTTTAACTTTGTTTGTCTTTTCCCAGGAAAGCCAAGAAAAGTGGCAGCTCTTGGAGAGTTCAAAAGCCAAAATCCTGGTCTGTCCTTCCTGCCTCCCCACACAATGGCACTTAATTGTTCTCTCGAACCTTCCTGTACACAACATGTCAGTTCCAACTAGACTTCCAAGCCCTGAGGGCAGGGCCCGAGTCTAACACTTCCTTTGGGTTCCAAAAGAACAGACCCCACGGAGCGGAGAGCGAACGCACGCCCAACAGACACCCCACAGACACCCGTGGTCCGATTTTCTGACAGCTTTTCCAAAGCCTCCCAAAAGAGAAACGCCACTTTCCTGCACTCCCTCCCCATTGGTTTTTTAAGGCTATACGGAGAAGTTTGGGGTAGCCTGCGTCTTCAGCCTCTTGTCTCCTGCTCTGTTTTAAAACCTCTCGGTTCAGCTGTGAAGCTCGTGGGGGGGACACACAAAGTACCTGACCCCCGTGGGTCCCCACGTTCCACCTCTCGGCAGCCGCAGACTTAACTACGAACAAATCCGTCTGGTCTCCTTCCACGTGGGAAACCCAACGACAAAACTGAGGCATGCAACTGCACTGACAACAGGCTAAAATGAGAAGACGTAGCATACCAGTTGATTGTGGGATAGAGCCTTCAGCAAAAAAAAAAAAAGAAAAAAAGAAAAAGCAAGAGGACCATTCACAGCTTGACCCCGACGTCGGATTTATTCGGTGTCTCTGTGACTGGAGTACCAGGACCGCGTTCTGGCCGGAACTGAATCAACTAGGAAGAGTTAAAGACTTTCTCTCTGAGAAAATAAACGAAAAACTCTTCAACCAATTAACTGCCATAAATATTTATTCTACACTGTGCCAGACACCTAGATGTTAGAGAGCAAGAAGGGAAGAAAACCAGCAAATGAATAAAATCATTCGGATGGGCGGTAAGACGACGAAAATAAATAAAGTGAAACAAGGCAACGGGTAAGAGACTCGCAAGGGACACAGCGTATGTCGCACTAGATTAGGTAAGATTTCACTTCGACCAGGCGCCGGTGAACTTCTTTAGTAACGGGCCAGATGGGGAACATTTTAGGCTCTTGGGGCCACCAGTCTGAGTGACAGCTGCTCCCTGCAGCCACGGTGGCCCGAACGCAGCCACAGGTGACACACGATGAAGCGCCAACTCCACCTACGGAGCGGCCGTCGGCTGGACTGGGCCCATGGGCACTGGCTTCCTAACTCCTTGAGATGCCAGTTTCTCATCTCTACCCCATGAGAAATGCCGGCCGCGAGTAAAGCCTCCTCCGAGCTTTTCCACGGAAGGAGACCTGCCGCCTGGGGGTGTGATAGCGCACAAGCGACGTATCACCCACCGGGCAACAGCTGGCTGTGCCACACAACCAGCCTAACCATCTCTGGCAAACGGGAGCCTTTCCTGGCATCTGTGCTCGCTGCAGGGGCCGGAATCGTGGCTCTCTCTCTGCCCGTCCCCTCAGCCTGTCCGTGTGGCTCCAGCGTCACTGGGCGGTACGGTCCCGCAGGCCGGTGCCAGGCACGCAGACTGACCACGGGACCAAGCGCGGGCGTTTACACCCGCTCAGAGCAGGCGGACGCCGGCACCGGAGCCTGGAAATGCGCACATGCACGCCGCCTGCGCCCTGGGCACCGCGGCTGACGGAGCAGCTCTGCGCAGCTCCCCGGGCAGCGCCGGTCCCTCCCGGCCGGTGGAGGTGAAGGCAAAGGTCAGGCGCGCCGCACGTCTGGCTCGCGAGGGGGAGTCCTGGGATTCGCCTGCTGATTTGGACACAAGTGCCCCTTCGCGGTCACCTGAGGTGCCATTAAGCTCTGTCCTGTCTGTCAGTCCTGGACAAAAACTTTGACTCCAGTATCTGGCCCACACACACTGTTAGAACAGACACTGAAGGCCACCCTGACCCGGGACACTCCTGGTGCGTCTGCGGGACCACACCGCCCGCGTCCCGGTGCCTGTGCCATCACGGTGCCCGGCCCCCTCCGCACCAGGCTGGACACAGCACTTGGACAGCGCGGGGCAGTGGAAGGAGCTGCGTGTGCAGGCTCCCTGGATTCTGTCAATTCTGCCACCAAGGGGCTGGGTGACAGCGGGAAAATGGCTTCTGCCCTGGGCCCCAACTTCACCTGTGAACCAGGCTTCAGCAAGAGGACCCCAAGGGCATGTCAGATTCCCCGCCCGCCAACCCCCGACTATGCCAGGACCCACGCCGCCGTAGCCGAGGGCTCCCCTTGGAAGGCACGGCCGGCGCCGGGTAGGGACGGATGCTCCAGGCCGGTCCGCTGCGCTGCGGTGAACGGACACCAACAGCACCCGAGGGACAGAGCGGGAGGACGCGCGGTGCGGCCGCGTGGGGACTGGAGCAGAAATGCACGTCTCCCAAGGGAGTGGGAAAGCGCCGGCGTGCCCAGAGCGGCCGGCTGCGGCCGTGGCTGCCGCTGGCTGGCTCCCCGCAGGTCACAGATCAAGGTGAGCACAAGAGACAGCTCCGCGCTCTGACTCAGGGACGCCCTTACCCAGCAAGCACAGCGTGTGCATGCCGTTCTGTCTGTTCTTCTTCACTTTGTCAAAGAAGCTCTCTGGTCTCCAAGTGTCTGTCCAAAACACAATAGACACCGTCTCTCCAAATCTGTACAGCTGGAAAAAACAAAACCAGTGCTTAGTGATGGGACAATGAACGAAGTGCTATTTTATAGATAACAACCAAAATAAAAGACTCGAGAGGCAGACTCGAGGTGGGTTGGAGATCAAGTCTGTCACCAAAAAAAAATTAAATAAATAAAAAGGCAACAAAGTTCTCTTGGTCCAGAGCAGCTGGTGTGCTCCTGATGCTCTAGTGTCCTGCGCTCAGTTCGGGGACAAAGGTGCCCAGTCCATGACTTAGCAATGAGGCTGCTAAAAATACCGAAACACCAGGAATCTAGTGAGAAACCACCACCAAAAGACTTCTGAGCCATCAGTGGGGCTCACAAAGAACAAACGACTTGAGATCCCCCCACGCGTGAGTGAAGAAGCAGAAGCTGGGACCGAGGCCCGCGGAAGCGCTCCGTCCACCCCGGCCCTCGGGAAAAGCCACACAGGGCACGCTGCTCTGGCCACTCCCCAGCCTCGTGCTGTACCCACGGTCTGCCCCTCCCTCCGGAGTCCGATGGTGGGGGCCGCCCCCGCAGCGACCACCGCGCAGCCAAGAGGCTGCCTGGTTCCAGTTTGCGTTCAGCGGGCCGTCCAGTTCGTTTACGTGAGTCCGACTCCAAAGCCTGTGCTGAGAGAACTGGTTCGGAATTCTGGTCCTGCGACTTGTTGGCGGTGTGACGTGCTCTTTCTAAGTCCCCGTCTCTAAACCAGGAAGTGGTCACATGCTGTCCTTCCTGCCCATGGGTTGTGAGGACCAAACGACACGAAAACGTCACTCAAACTGGGACACGACACGTCGGTGCGACCTCTCCTTGGGGCTCTGTGCAAAGGACATTTATTCCCAACGATTTGCTGTGTGGTGAAACACAGCCTGGAAGTTGTTATGGGAAGATGAATCATTCAATTTAAGCGGAGCTGGGATCCCCAGGTGCTGGGGGGCATCTCTAGTCCTCCGCCACAGGTCACCCGGCTCTGGCACCACAGGGGGACTTCGGGACATGTCCCAACTTCCTAAGCCTGAGGTTCTTCGTCTGAAAAATGAAGAAGCCGGTCTGGAGAGGGGGCTGTCACCAAAGGCCCCTCAGCCCTGTTTTCCGCAGCGGCACACGGTAGAAGGGGGCCGGCAGGGAGGAAGCTGAGAAGCCGGGAAGCCGGGCCCTCTGCCCCCCATCCCCAGAGCTCGATGTTTCTTGACTATATTCTGGGGTCTTAAAAACTACAACCGTTGCTCACAACAGCGACTTTGGGTTCCCAAGAAGGTTCATGTTCCTCGTGTGGCCACGGCCTGCAATTTACCTACCAATGGGCAGTATTCCAAAGCCCATTCGAAAACTGTCTAAAAGGTGTGTCTCCATGAAGTCACAGATCGGTGCACAAAGACCCTGTAACCCTCGAAATCAGTCATAAACCTCCCTGCTACGTGGAACAGTATTTCAGTAAAAAACGCATGGAGGGGGCCCCACGGTGGGGTCCCTGGAGGGCGTGGGCCGAGCTGCAGGGGCGGGCCTGGCCCCGCGCGGGCTCTGCTGCTGTCGCCGCGCGAGGAGAGGCGGCCGTGTCTCGCGAGCGGTCAGTCCGGATCTCGTGTCCCGCTCCTGCTTCACGTGCCGGCCAGAGCGGTGGCGCCGCGGCCCTGGTTCTTACAAGCGGGGTGACCTCGGACAAGTCAAGCGACCTCCTGGACTTTCCCCTGGAAAAATGGGCATGATGGCTCCACAGCTAATCATGTGGCTTTTTAAGGAGTAAAATGACAAAGCGTATAGACTGCTAAAGACCTTGCGCACAGTAAAGACCCAGTAAATGTCCGGGACGTGATGGTAGGATGAAGTGACGCTGACAATGACGAGAAGAAGAGGGTCTGAGAGGCTGTCTCCTGACGGGGTCCAACCGCGCTCCCTCTTGGAGGCAGCTCAAAAGTGTTCCCGAATATTTGGAACGAGGCTTATGGTTTAATTCTGACAGTTCAGCTGTTTACATTCGAAAGAGAATTTTTGGCACCTCTGGTCAGATTCTGAAATACACTGCTCTATTAAGAAAAACTTCAAGGAAAAACAAAGATAAGAAATTTATGTAGGCAACCATATGTAAACACTTTAAATGGGACGTCCATATTTTAAGAGTCATGGAGGTAAATTCCTCCTTCAGGAAGAAAGGGGTAGGTCATTTAAGAGAGAATAGAAACAGTGGCTGAGCCCCTCCGTGCATGAGCCTCTGACCGAAGGAAGCCCCCCGTCCCCACCGCGGGCTGCTCCCTGGGACCCTGACCTGCGGGGACAAACTTCTTCAGGGAGTTCTGGAACGCCATGCAAACGGTGTCGCCAGCGAGAGGCCGGGGCCTCGGAGAACAGCAGGGCCGGCCTTTGGGTCGTGCAAACCAGTGCTTAACGGCAAACTGCGAAAGGCCACGGAGCAGGAGCGCGGCGCCCGGCACGAGGCGGCAGGGGCCGGGCGCTGGCCGGCTGGGAGTGGCCGCTGCGCTGGGACCCCCCACAGGCAGCCCGGTGCAAACCCAAACGTAGAGGCCCCAGACAGAGCTGCTTCCTCACACCTGCTGGGCAGCGCACGCTCTCTGTTCGTTTGCTTTAACTGGGAGAAAGTTCTACAGAAAGCAGTGTGACTGCATATGGGATCTTGTTTTTATTTATTTGAAGACAAACAAAATTTTCAACTCAAAACGGGCCATTTAATTGTCTGGTTAGAGAGAAAAGATACACAAGAAAGGCAACTCCTGGGTGGCAAATACTCGTGATCAAAGGTGAGATCGGGCTGCACGGATCACAGGACTTCTGCGCTGGCCCCTCTCCGCACCTCTGGGCGGCTTCTGGAGACAGAGGCCGCACGCGGGGCCTCCCCGGGAGGGGAGACCAACGGCGGCAGCGGTGGGGGGTGGGGTGGGCTGGGGCGAAAGGGGTGGGGGTGGGGAACCACGGGCAGGGCTCGGAGTGGCACTGAGCCATCCACCTGGAAGCAGCCACCGGCCGGTTCCTCCCAGTTCCAGCTCTGCTCGCTCCTTCCCCCCAAGCGCCCCTGGCGCCACCTGCCCGAGGGCGCCAGCGGCCGCCCAGCTCATCTTGCTGCCGCCAACATTGCCTCACTTCAGAAGCACAGGTGCTGTGTGAGCTCCGCTTTATAATCAGGCTTTCATGCTTTTTGTTTTATATTCAAGTAAAGATATTTTGTCATGCTTAAGTTAAAACAAGTCTTCTCTGCACAGAGGAAAATCAGTAAATTTAACTTGCTAAGGACGCTATTAAGCCCCATACATATCATGTATAGGTGTGATAGACTTACATACTGTATAAGTCTATATACAGACATATATATCATATAAGTCTATATACAGACATATATATTCTAATGTATATATTCTACACCAGATCAGTTAAGTCTGTGAAACAGAAGGAAGGCAAGCAGCACCATAAAACCACATGATCCCGAGTTACTAGTTCTCTATACAGGACACTGGTCTTGGAGTTGGCTATTTCAATCCTCATGCATTTTGCTTACCATCGACTCAACAGTGCTTTTCGCTGACCCTAGAAAGATTGTGTACGGGGCCACACACAAGGGACAGAAAGTTCAACGACTAGGTAGACCGAAGATGACAAGATTTATGTTCTCACACATACGTAAATGAGTGAATCCATGTGGGGGGTCAAATGAAAGGGTTATAATTCAAAGCTTGTACTTCCAAAGACAAGATCCAACTTGGGGGAACAAACAGTTAAAACAAACAAGCAACTCGGCTCGGCAGGTACTTGTATACCGACTGTGTGCAGGGCAGCGCCACAGAGCGCAAGGGGAGAGGGGACAACGAGTCACCTGAGGCCTTTGCAACACGGTGCCCGCGCACACGTGGCAGCGAACGTCCTGCACAGCACGGGGACTTGGCAGGGCTGCTGGAGCAGAAAAGGCTCAATCGGATCTTCCGAAAAAAAAAACAACAAACAACCAACCCAAAGCTATAAAGTGGAAAAGGATGTTAGACGGCTATTGAAACAGTGATTAAAAGTTACAGTGAAAATGGAAAGGAAGAAAAAAAATTTTAATATGCCCATTATTGAGCAGGTGGTCAAAATTAGTTCTGAAGTAACTGAAAGAGAGTGAGCTTATTGCATGAGCTCCAAGGCTGCACGGCCTCGTATGCTTCCTGCCTAGTTCCGTGTTCCGTGTACTAGGCAAGGCTTTATCACTTCCACGTTAGTCCTGGACAACGCTAAAGCCATTTTAATGCTTTAGACCAACGAACAGCGAGTACTCAACCCTGCTGATTATCACAAGTAGAAATGTTTTACATAAACAGAGGAACTTATGGCAACAATCAAGGTCACATCCAAGAGCAGAGAAAGTAGAAGCATTTCATAATGATGACAAAGTTTTACAGCCTTACCCTGAGGTCAACCATAACCGACAACACAATTATTTTTTCATTAAAATGTTTTATTGTGATTACAGAAACAGTCCGTGCCAAATGATGTGCGCGGTTTTATTTTCTGCACTGTTCTTTATCCCGTCCTCAGCGTGAACACGGCCCATCATATCGCATTCCCTCTCCCCACCGCCTCTGCACAGCGAGCCGCTGTCTCCGCTGAGCCATCGCATGAATTCGGGATCTCTTTCCTGAGCATCACGAGCAGTTCGGAGCCCGTCAGTGATTGCGAGCAGCTTCAGTTGCTCCTTCCGCAGCACATTAGCTCGCACTCGTCTACACCAACTTTCCAAGAGGCACAGACTAGAGGTGGGAAAGGCCTGCCCATTCCACAGCAAAAGCGGGCACAGCAGGCACGTCCGTCAGCTCGTGCCACTTGAATGATGCTGATTGCTAATAATTAGTTACTGCTTACGTTATGTGGTTTCATTCTGAAATCAGTTAAGATCTATTTTTTTAAAGCAACATTTCTTTTCCAAAAGGGAACTGGCTCAGGCAGGAATGTTACCACAGCCAAAGCTAACAAATACAAGGAGGCGAAGGTCTCAGCTCAGTCTGGTCAACATCGCTGGGCACCACACCTGGAAGCGGGGGGCCCCGCTGGGGGCTCCGAGAGGCAGGCGCGGAGAACCCGAGGCCTGGACCAACCATGACGGTGCTCGTGACGGTGAACGCGGTCGCCAGTACGATCATCCCAAGAAAAGTGCAAGAGAGCACATAACAAGGACACGGTTGCCTTCTGCAAATGAAAGGGCCCGATGCCAAATTCCGACTCTTAAGGGGAAGTGGTAACATCAATGTTTGTCATTAAAATGTTTGCTTGTAAGCACAGAAACAGTCAGCGCCAACAACGGGCTGGATCTGGGAGCTGGGAGAGGCCTGAAGGCAGGGACCTCCGGGCAGGCCTGGAAGGAAGGGCGAGTGTGCCGTCCTGGGCTGCCGCAGAGACAGGGCCCCGGAGCCAAGAAGCAGGCGGAGCCCAGCCAGCACTCCAGCACGAAGGCGAGCACGCTCCCTCTCGGCGCCAGCCGGTCAGGCCCATAGAGGGCCGCGCCTTTGCACAGGTCAGGCTGTGGGAGGCTCCTCGGCAACCTGAAATAACCATCAGAAACACAGATTGCCAGTCACGCGTACCCTTACGGGGACAGGGCAGCCTGTTTTAAGTGAGGACTGCCTCAAGGGAAAAAAATCAGAAAGCCTGGTGTTACATGTAAGGAACACTGGTTAATTCCCAGCTGCAGAGTACAACCGCCGGCCACAGCGTGGCTGGACGAAGGACCTGCTGCCCAGCACCTCAGCACGGCAGGCACTCAGTGCCACACAACGCGGCGGGGACTGACGTCGCGGTGCCCGCGGGCCACCGAGGCCGTGAGGGCCCTTGTGGGACGGCCGGGCAACGAAGGATCCCCGGACTACGAGGCCCGGGACACAGGACTCCGTTTCCTTGTTCCTTCCGCAGAACACGTGTCGGTGCAGACCAGGAACGTGCCAACACGTGCTTACGATTTGTAAGAGCAACAGCATTTTATGCAGAAATCACTGCTACCTGGTTTGCCTGTCCCGTTCAAACCACTCGTCACCGCATTTTTGCAAAAGAATCAGTACACTCTATCACACAACTGATTAACCATTAATGATAAATACCACACAAAAAAGCAGTTTAGAATTTGTAATTTCTTCTTTTATTTGGCCTGTCCGACTCAGGAGAGCAGACGCATGGCAAGTGTGGAATAAAAAGACTAAAAGAAAACACACCGAACTGGTAACTCATGAGCACCTCCAGGCGGGGGGACTATCAACACTTGTATTTTTTCCTTTACACTTGCTGTATTTTCTTACTTTTATGTAAGTATATATATCACTTATTATCAAGGAAAAAAGTTATTTTCTATAATGGCTCTTCTAAAGCAGAAACAAGGGTAAATGGAAAAGTTGCTAAATGCTTAACCTGAATAATTCAGGTTAAGATTTTCAGGCAATAATTCAGGAAAAAGAAGGACTTTGGTCTTTCATGTATTGAGAAAAATCCCTGGCTTTTCACTAGCATTTTACATCTAAAACAACCAACTTGCCTGGCCCTAAACAAATACACAGGTTTTTCTTTTATTAGAAAAATCCTCATAATACAAATAATACAAGTGTTAGAAACATTTGTTACTTAGAAATTTCAAGTAACACTTTAAAGTATACGTGTTCCTAACATTTTAATTTTGAAAAAAATCCTGAAATTTACTCAATGAAAACTGGAGTATCTAACATAACCTTTGCCTGAAGTTGGAAAACAGCCAGCCTCTTATCTTCCAAATCCACAGGATATGAGAGCTTATCTAATTCACAATTCTTTATATTTTTAGTGCCAAACTCTTTTCCAAAGAAATTCTTAAATAGAACGTCAATAGTTAAAAGACGATGACTAGGGAAACTCCACTCCATTCAACTTCCTCTGACACAAAAATGTCGGAGGGGTTTTAAAGTGTCAAACAGACTTGAACTGCCAAGGTTTTCCTTAAGGGTGCATTTTAATAGAAAACAAAAGAGCCCAATTTCTGCCAACTTAAATTCAGTAACTAAGAGCGAGTGGTGAATACTGAAAGGCAAATCATTTATACCTTTTCTCTGGTCCTTCAGAGTCAAAAGCAACAGAACTGCTGAAATGATTGGCCAGTATTAATTGATTAAATTGATATTAAATTGATATTAAATTGTATTGCCACTCTTCCCGGGAAATACAGAAAACACAGCCCCTCTGAAGATACAGGCACAGCTTGGTGTGCACGCTAATGTATCTTCCAGTTGGAAGTCCCTAGTTTACATGACACATTCCGGGAATGCATGTTGGGGAACACCTTCTTTCATAGATACTAAGATTTCATAGATACATACCCCTTCCCCCTCACTGCATCTGAAATAGGAATGTGTCTTAACAATCAAGGAAGTCTTAAAACCACTGTTGGCCATGTGTGAGGTGTCACGGATCCTATCTGTGAACGTCAGAACATGAATATAAAACTCACAAAATGAATGTCAACATCTTGGAAGAAAACCCTGGAAGCAGTTACGGAGTGTTCTCTGAACCCCTCAGAACCAAGACTGTTGGGTTCGAAATAACTAACTTTACACATCAATAACTACAAAGTTGGCTTAAAAGCCTACCACCACTGGGCGTTGACCCTTTTCCGGATTCCTTTAAGAAGTGCCACATCACGGTGCCCTGAAAATAAGGCCGGTGCCCTGAAAATAAGGCCGTATGAAGAAGCAGGGCCCCCGCAGTGCGCAGAACGTCATTCGGGGAACGCAGAAAGGCTTGGGGAACACCTCCGTGACCTAATTAGGTTATGTTTCTTTTCCACATGTGCACAAATTAATATAAGACTGAAATCTTTCTCTAGTCAATTTTAATGGTGTATTCCAATGAGGGGAAAAATCTAAGTGATCCAAAACCTTCGCATAAAAACTTTACTATTAAAAAAATTTAGTGCACACAAACGTAGTATAAAATAATAATATCTTATAGTTCATGAACCAGAATGAAATCGGCTTGCAATTTGTAAGGAGGTAAAACGCTTCTGGTAAACACCATCTCACACACTCACACTCTCGGTGCATTACCTGCAAGCCGCAGCAGCCCACAGCGTTCACGATGGAGGCGTTGTGAACAACTCGGTAAGGGACGCCCAGCTTCGTGGCCCTCAGGATCAGGTCGGTGTGCGTGGTGGCCCTGGAGCGAGAGAAGGTCGGGCTGCGTTAAAGTCGCCCACGCTGCCTGTTGTTTCCCGAGTTTTCGCCACAGAGAGGGTCTGGGCTTTTTGGCAGCGCCAAGCCGTGGCCGGGGCACCCTTGACACAAAGCGGCCTTGGCGGCTCCAGGACAGAGGGCAGTGCTCTGGCCTCGATGTCCCCTGGATGCCTGCACAGACCCCCACGGGAGGTAAGCTCAGCCACAGAGCTCAGGAGCAGCAACTCTCAGATGCCTTCGCCTCGGCCCGAAGCGGCGCCCGGCGAGGCCTGCTTCTTGACATCTGCTCTCTTTGGCAGGGTGTGTTTCCGTATTTGAAATCCAACATGCAGAACACACAGAACGTTATCACAGCCGCCAGTCTTTGTCTGTCATTAAGAGTTCTAGCTGATAGGCTCCTGGTTGGATCTCACACCTGTCTAGCCGGTGTGCTACTCACAACCGCCTGTCCATGTGTTAATATGTGCGTGCAAATGCTGCCTGTCGTGTCCTGACTGGGAGTCGAACCGGCGCCCTTTAGGTTCACAGGCCGGCATTCAATCCACCGAGCCACACCAGCCAGGGCTGAGCTAAAACTAATGATTATACTTAGCTGGACGGTGGTGGGGAGAGAATACGTATCAATAGGGAGAGACTGTGAAATGCAGCACCGCATCAGTTCAGAGCCGCCCTATGCAAGAGGCAGCGTCCCCCTTGACGAGAGCCCCCGGCCCTGCCAGGGAGAGCGACACAGGCCCGCTCGCCGAAGCCCGGACAATGCATACCAAGCAGGGAGATCAAGAGCTGCCACCCCATGGGGCCGTCACAGACAGATGAACAAATGCCCCCCAGGGAAGCCTGGTGTTAATCACACACATCAAATAAAAACTGGTATGAAAGCCATTAATGTGATTCCGCGTGAGCTTTTAAAAAAATATTATGAATGCCAGTTGTAAAAAATGTTTTTAATATCGACACCAACAGAATTTCACTACTTAACACTAAGAGGAAGGAAAACAGACTTACGTACTTGGTGAGTTATTTAAATAGATGAGCAGAAGGAAAATCTGGTTTAAAACTGTCTCTCTCTTTATTACCAGTTCACTGAAGATGACCAGATGTGGTTGGTGCACGAGGAAGATTTAACGAGCTGGCAAAGTGACCCGACTTTGTAAAACTGACATGTGAGGAAATGAGCCCCTCAGATTTCTGCTATAAAAATTTGTGACAAAATCGGTATTTTATCACGATTACCTAGGTTGTATCGCTGTCAGGAAAACAAAAAACTGGTTTGAAACACAGCCTTAAACCATTATACCGAGCACTCCTTCCAATCCAGGGCTCGGGAAAACGCCTCCCTTACTGTGACTGGAAGAGTGTGAGTGCGCGTGCGCGCGCGAGCACAAAAGTGACCGTTTCTGGGCATGTGGCTCTTCCACAATCACGTTGACACACACACGAGTACGGACAGAGCTACGAGCCCAGAAATACTAATAAATTTGTCTTGCTATGCTTGTTGCTGGGAATTGCTATGAGGGAATTTCAAGACAATGAACATCTGGTCAGTGGCAACAGTAAAATAAAGATCATCATGGTCACCGACTTGAATGTGTAAGGCTTGGGATGATCGTTTTAAACTTTACTTCCTAAGAACCTCTGTTGGGGGGTATCGTGCGGCCATGTCTGGCAGAGGCATGCCAACGAGGGGAAAACCCACCGGCCTCGCCGTGACGGGCGAGCCGATGTTTTCTCGTGAACTCCCGGAAGCTCCATGAACAGGTACCGTCGTTTGGAAAACGAATTTGACAATATGTGCTTGGAAATGTCCGTGTTCATAACTTCTGACTTTTTTTTCATTGATATTATAAACCTGTTCTGGAAAACCTACCTAAGAAAGCAATTGAAAATGCGGGGATGGGGAGGCGGGAGGAGAGGAAAAGAATTCTATGCACTAATCCGTACTCGGCACCTTTAATTACGCTGAGAAATAAGGGGGCTCATGATGACAATGTGGCTGTTGACTGGGCAGTGACGAGGCGCCAGGTGCTGCTCAAACACGACACAAGGGGCAGAAGCAATGCTTACGCATTTCACGGTATGTGTAGGTCGGGTCACTGTGCTTGAACCTGCATCTTGGACTTGCAGTGCTGTGTCAATTTTATCTCAGTAAAACTGGGGCTGAAGAGAAGAAAGGAGGGGAAGACGGAAGAGGGAAGGAGAGTCGGTTTCCAGGGGAAAAAAAAAGGGCAGACACACAGGACAAATACCGCCAGGGCCAAGCCCCCGTGGAGGGCACGGCCGCACACCGGGCTGTGGCGCGGTCACTAAGAAGAGCGGCCGGAGGAAAGAGCGGGCGGACGGTTGCAAGGCCACCGAAGTCACTGAGGGTTTTCTCTGGGTCTCGCTTTCTCACATACGTCGACTTGCCCCTCCCGTGGGCTTCAGTGCAGGCGTGTCGTCGAGAGAAGGGCAGGCTGGGTGGGGTTTTTCATGTCCGGGCGGCACCAGAGGTAGTAACATCCCCATTCGGAGCCCTCCAGGCTGCGGTTTTACAAATGTGGACTTGGCGCCGGCCCCGGCCCTGGAGGAAGGGCCTGGGCCACGCCCAGACTGCCCACCACGCTAACCTCGTGCAGGAGGACGAGAGCTTGGGTTAGGTGAGGGGTGGCAGCCGGGAGGCAGAGGAATGGAAAGACATGAAACACTTGGTCAAACGAAAAGTCGCCAGCAGCGCTCCTCAGGCTAACAACTCTCTCTTAGATTCGGAATAGCCACGGAACAGCTTTGTCAAATGCACAAACACAGAACACAAGCCCCAAAGGGGTGTGAGCAGATTCGGCAGACGTGGATCCCTGTTATACTTTTTTAAAGGGCTGCACAGGTTTCGAAAGGCCCGACTCTGTCGCTCCCGCAGGGACCACCAGGAGGTGTGCGGCCGCCCCGTCGGCGGCTCTCGCTGGGAGCTGCTCTGGTTCACGGGCTCGTCGGTGGCCCGATGCCGTGACCGTCCCTGAGACCATGTGTTTGGGTGACCGTGGGCACCGTGGTGCCACGGCGCTGGGAAGCCGGGGTGAGCGCAGAGGACACAACGGAAAGCGTGCATGTCGTGGCAGCAGTCGCTGGGATAATAAGCAGACACTACGGCAGCTCTAAGATAATGCGTATGTAGGACTTTAACTACCCTTAGTGTATTTTATTATTTTGTGGCTTCAAAAAAAAAAAAAAAAAAAAGGGAAGACAGGTACTTCCTTTGGGGGAAGATTTACTTTTACAGAAAACAGTGTCAGAGGCTAAAATAAACTACTGAAATCTTTTTAAGTGTATGATTATCCAGTGTCATTTGCAGCCAAGTTTAATAATGACACCCCCCCCCCCCCCCCCGCACAGCATATTGACATAAATCACTCTCTGACAGAAGCATGCACACGAAACTCCATTCTTTTGGAAAGCATCCTTGGTGGTGGGTTCATAGGGGTTTAATTGTCATTACGTTCCTTAAACCTGTGACATAAATCTTGGGTCACCGGCTGGAGACAAAGAACTCTTCCGTTCGGCTTGACATCAGAGATTGATGATGCCCAACCAGACAAGCGGAAACCCATCTTCTTAGTGATGGGGAGTAACGGGGCTCCCCGTGGATAGGAGACATTGAAATCCGAGGCTTGATAGATGATAAATTCAAAGCAAGGAAAGCGACGGCAGTATTGCTAAATACTAGATGATTAAGAAAGAAAAAAATGCCCAGACAAAGGAAGCAGAAGATGCTTGCAATTTACCCGCAAAGCAAATGGCAGGTATGACCCTCGATAATGTAACACATTTACTCAACAGCGATATACTATTAAGGAGTTTGATGTTGGAAGTGACTTTCTAAAAGACACTTGATACACAACAGAGGTGATATGTATGATCACACGCTTGCCAAGCAGCTTTTCTACATTAGTATCAGAAATAATGAAACTACAGAATTTAGACAGAGCCGACGTAAACAGAGTCCCTCATCAAAACCTGGCAGGAAAAAGGCTTTCAATGGAACAGATGATTCTTATTGATTAAAAAGAAAAAAGAAAAAAAAGTAAATACTGTTAAAACTCAAATATCTGCTTTAACTTACCCAAACGGATCCCCAACCACAAGGAACGCAACATCACTGGTATCAGCATCCTTTAAAATATTATCTGCTTCTTGTTCCACTTCTTCTCTATCAGCAAGAATCAATTCTCTTCCATAGAACTCTTCCTACAGATTTAATGCCAATATCCATGAGACAGTGGGTGACCACTGCAACACCCCCACCCCCACCCCCACCATCTTTGGGGCTGGTGTAATCCTGGCGATCACCCAAACACAGGCCACTGACTCGAACTCATCGGTGAGCTAGTAGTCCGTATGATGTTGCAATTAAACTCTGTCTTGGGGGCCATCTTGATATGCCAAAAGGAGGTAGACTTCCTAACATCTGAGGCTTTTCGCATTTTAAATTTACCTCTAAATCTGGATCCAACAGACCAGGCAGAACACTGTAGGATGAGCAGAGACTATGTATGGATGCATGCACACTAAGACAGGATAACTATATTAAGCAGTAAATTATAAATGTCCGTGGTAGTTTGAGTTGTATTAAATTTTCCAGGGGAAAATCTATGGGACCCTGGCTAAAATAAAAGGTACCCTCCATGAGAAACGAGAGAAAATTAAGACTTAGTGGTTTATAGAAGCAGAAAACATTCCTGTATAATTGCAGGAAAGACTAATTTAAAACTGTATTTCCTAGTTCCTGCTAAGAAAGGAAGAGAGGCAGGGGGAAAAAGACTTCTGGTATATAGGAGGCCTCCATGAAAAACGCTCTGTGAACCGATCCCCTGAAGTCAGCTCTGGAGAGCAAAGGCAGGGGCTGGCCTGCCCAGCGGGGCGTGTGCAGGTGAGGACAGGACCCGGGCGCTGGCGGCCACGTGGTCCTGGTCACAGCCACTGCGCGGGTCACAAATCTGATCGCTGAGTTCCTGTGGCGCCATATGCAATTCAAATGTGGTCAAAGTGGATGCCAGCCCAAGGACCGCTGTATCGGAAGGGTACCTGGTACTCAGCGGTCCGACAAGCAAATGACTAAATGAAAAAATGAGTAAGCGTCTGAAGGCAAAGGCTACCATGCCAAGTGTGACTGATAATTATTTCCTCATGCTTAACTAGGGTCTGTTTCTCAAAGGTGAAAAAAGATCCTTTCCTTTTCTCTGTAATTCTTAGAGATAATGTCCCAAAAGTTCCGGACAACAAGGGTATTTTTATGGATAGAAAAATGTTCTCTTTATTTTCATCTTTACCCTATAGTTTCTTAATCATCAATTCTTATATACCTTTAATTTTATACACCCAGACACCACTTGCAGAAAGTTTATATTCTCATATGCAAGAGAATACAGATATTACTTTAAAATGAAGGAAATGATGTTTTTTCTGGACTTTTAAAGATGAAGAAGCCACCAGCTGCTAGCTTAATGCCAGCAGCAATCCTACCCCCTATATTTACAGAAAACCTCCCTCTCTTCACACATCGCTCCATATTTATCACTTCTCCTAAGGAATGCTTCATTATCTAATTGAGGCAACAGAATGTTTATTTTAAAAATTTCCTTTGAAGAGAAACACAAACACCTCCATATGATCACATGACTAATCCTCTTGAAAAAAAAAATCTAAGAAAGGACAGCAAAAGCAGTAGAGAGACTGGTATTACATTATTTTTAATTTATCCAATTTTTTTTCTTTATTCACTTGAAAAATCTTTTTTATTGAATTTATTGGGTAATTCTGGTTACCCAATTCGACAACACATGATCGGTGCACTGCATGGGGTGCTCACCACCCCAGTTACTGCCCCTCAGCTTGTGCCCCCTTGTCCCCTCCTCCACTTGTCCCCGCCCACCCTCTCCTCGGCCATCAGAGAACTGTTTCTTCTGCACAGCTTCTGTGCCAAACTCTGTGCTTGATGTTGGGGAACAGCGGTCAGGATTTTAAATTTATATTGTACATAACCCAACGAATGATTAGCCAACTGTGGCAAAATCTCAGCCCTAGGCTTCTCCGCTGATGAAAAGAGAAAACTCAAAATTCACTGTTGGCTCCAAGCTGGCAGGTTTTGCATGGGGGGTGGGGGGGCAGGGTAAAAACTAAAAGTTAAAATTACTTTGGGTATTTCTGGAAAGAGACACAAGAAATTAGTAGTGACTGCTTCCAGGAAAGGGTGCTGGGATAGAAATCTTTCAATGTATATATAGACCTTTGCTATCTTTTGACTTTCAACCATTTCGCGTATTATTACCTAGTCAAAAAAGCAGAAGAGTAGAGGCTCAAAGTAGTACACAGAAACAAATCAGAGCACAAAGACCTAAACAAAATAAAACAAAAAAACCCCTAACATTTAAAGATGAAATGACAAATAAGGAGCTTATACAGGGGACTGAGAAAAATGGAAAAGTAGAAGTAAAACCCAGAGAAAGTCATGTCTTGAATGTCAGTTTTGAGGAGCGGTCAACCACCTCAAAAGAGGTAAAGGCAGATCACGAACTCAGAGCTGTCCTCTGGGGTTCTCAGCTTCTACATAATTGCTCAAAAAACAGAAATATTTCAAAGCAGTGGGAGTCAGCCTGCAGGGCTCCAAGACAGGAGTGGAGGTGGGGGACGTGGGGACCATAATCGTATCTGCTTTTTTCAAAAAGCTTTGGGGGCGGGGAGAGAATAGTAACTGTTGGAAAAGAGGCGACTTTTCAGAATGGACCCCACGGGAATTTGGTTTCAGGCTGAGGGGAGAAGGATGTTACTGCAGATCGAATATAAGAAAGAAAGACTAATTGATGGGCGGTAAGTTTCCAGAAAAAGGGGGAGAAAGAAGCTGGCAAAACACACATCGAGATGGAGTTCATCTTGAACAGGAAGAGAACCTCATGTTACAAGTCATTTTCCAAGGCCAGAGGGAGGACAGGCTCAGATTTGGGGTTAGGGACAAATGGGGGAACGTTAAGAAAGGTCACAGCAGATGGCCTCAGTTTTCTCAATGCGAAGTCCTTGTCTGTCCTCTTCTCTGTCCCTCCAATGTCTCTGCACAGCAGGCCGGCAGGGCCAGGAAATCCTGAGCTGGCACCCAGGCAAAGCAGGTTAGGAGGAGAAGAGATGGAACAGACACACTGGGAGAAAACGGAAGTGATTTCAGGTCTGCCCAAGAACACGCAGAGCAAGTGCGGGGCTGTTCTCCTCCGCGCTCTTGCTCACAGTGACTTCTCCTTCAGTGAGGAATGCTAATCTTATCTGTAATAACAGCACTTCGCACTCATTCTCTTACACTGGGGGGCTCCCTCTGTGGCTGGGCTGCGGACGTACGTAGCACAGGAGTTCATTCCATCTTTACTACGACATGAGACAGGCACGATTTTTATCCCTTTCACAGATCAGGAGAGGAGCATAGAAAAGCTCCGTGGCTGCCCAGGTCACAGAACCTTAGTTGACTGCAGGACGTCCCATGTGCTACAAGGGCGCATAGCCAGGTGGAGCGCAGTGACCTCTGCTCTCCGCAGGTAGTCGGGTGCCCCCAAATGAGTCCCCTTTGGCCGTTCACCCTGCAGAACGGTATAGATATTACCATCTTCTATTTGGACCATGGCATAAATGAAGTAAACAAAACCAAACCACTCGGCTACATGATTTTAAAACACAGGTCCAATGCCATGGCTTCTGTAGTATTCCCTGGCCATCACAGCGCAAACCGGCCTGGTCTCTTACATGTATTCCAATTGTAATTAATTACTGGTTAATTATTTAACATGAGGTAGCCGCTTCCTTAGTCGATGAGAGGAAGAATGTGAACTTAAATAAGATCAGCTAAATTTCTTCCAGCGATATAATTTTACAGTTTTCCCCTTCCACTGCCGTTGTGAATTATGCCTTAAATCCCCCATTATTAGTTACGGTTTCCTGGGTACAACACAGATATCATGAACCACGTGTGAACGAAGATCATGGCTTACATCTCTGTATGAAGCACGTGAGTACATTACACCAAAGGCATGGAAGGTCAGGCTTTGTCCCCAGAAATTGCCTAAAGAAGCTCCAGCTGTATACACCAAAACGACAACGTTCCCCTGGATTCACCGTCTCCAATTCCATTAGCTTTTCCGCCTGCTTGGCTGTGAATCCGAGAGGACAGACAACTTGGAATTCTCTAGGTCCCTTTTTTGTTTGGAAGGCTTAGACCAGGCAATTCCAAAATTCTCTCCTCGTTCCTATAACCTGCTCATTGATCCTCCCATCTTAATTTACATTGTACTTAGTGTTTCACCATGAACCGGAATTTGACCCCTTCTCCAAAGTTTAATGAGCCCTTGAGGACAGCCAACTCTGACGAATGATACACCAACAAATGCTGTGGTTACTATGTCCCAGGATCACTCAATACACACAGGTGTTTGGGTATAAGCTTTACTGAAAGATGTCTATTTAAAGATAAGACCTCTCTGGATATACAAGGCAGAAAGGCATTACCATTCCCTGTGGAAATGCTTCAAAGGTGGAAGCTTGCAGCTTGGTTTCTGAATATGCAACCAGCTCATTATGGCTGTGTCGGCCCTTCATTAGCATCAACTCAGAGAGGATTTCTGGGCTATCTCATTAAATAGGGGATTTTGAGAACTATCCCCCAAAGTGTAAAATAACTTCCCTTTCTTATTTACTGGAGAAAGTCACCACATTAGACTTGTAAAGCAAGACAAAGCACGCTCTCATTTCCCACATCACTTGGCCAGTGTACGATGTCCATTCTCGTTCTCCCCAAATACTTAAGGAGCAAGTGGCCCGTTTTAAAGGGTTTGACAAGCACACCTGCTAATTTGGTTCCGCTTAGTATAAGGAAAATGGGCTGCTAGGCAGCTTTCTCCCGGGAGGCTGCAGGCCCCCGGCACCTACCAGGGCTTCCTTCCCCACAGTCAAGACGGAGGTGTAGGCTTCCAGGTACACCCGGCTGCAGCGTCTCACTACCTCCAGGCCCTTGACTGTGATGTCCTTGGCATCGCCCAGGCCCAAGCCGATCAGGTAGAGCATTTCAGAGTCCAGGGGAGGGGAGGCTGCAGGACAAATGAACAAGAACAGGTGTCAGCTACCCCGAGGGCACCAAAAGTCTAGGGACGAACAAGAAAAATCAAAGTAGCACCAGGAGGAACCGCAGGTCGCAAGGAAAGACTGGAGAACCTTACGGTCAGCCTCCTACATAAGGATCGGAATATATGTTCTTAAGCAACCCTGTCCCGCTTTTTCTCTTGTTACACACACACCTAGCAGCCGACAATCACCCGCGGAGAGAGACGTGCCGCCTTTCCTAGGCAGCAGCACACAAAGGGGCCGAATCGTGCCCAGCAAGGAACCCACGCGGCCGCTTCACCCGCGGTGCCGCAAAATGCCGGCGCCTTTACGGCATTTTACGACCGGCGAAAGCCGGCTATCGAGCGGCGCGGAGCCAGGGAGCGGTTTAGGGGGGTCGGGTGTCGGTGGACCCCAGGTGACTCCGCGGCTGCGGGGGAGCGGAAATTAGTCAGTTCAGAGCCCCCAGCGTGGCTCCTGGGGAAAGAGCGAAGCTGGTGGCTTCGGCGTCCCCGTCATAGGACCGGGATGTGAGGGAGCTTCTGCTCCTCCGGACCGCGACGGGTGGCTGGTGGGCGGGACCTCCTGGCTTTGCCCCGGGATTGCCCGAGGGCAGAGGACCTTTCCCGCCCACATCTAGTCGCTCGCACCCCTGCTTGGGGAATGCGCTTGGCACCCCCGGGGCTCTGGAGCAGTGACTCCTCGGATTTGTCCCCGAGACCTGATTCGGAGAGTCCCCTGGGCGCGACTGGGACTGCCTGGGTCATCCTCGGAGTCGAGCCGCCCACAGCCCTTGTGCTTGGAGAGGTGGCATTTGAGAGTGCTCGGGGACTTCAGTCCTCGGCCAGGGGCTTCCTCGGGGGAATTCCTGAGACTGCTCTGTTCTGAAGTCGCTCCGACGTCGGAGATGCCCTTCGTAAAGTCACCAGTGGCTGCATCCAAGAAGTACAGCTAATCTGAGTACACGGTGTTGATTGCTCAGAATTCCGCTTTCCCCCCAATGCATTGTGTCTTTGTTGCCCAGCTCTGCTCCCTTAAGCCTTGACTTGATGTTTTTTTCCCCTGGATCTCATCTACCCTTTGCGCGTATTCTGTACGCTCTTACTGAGTCCGTCCATTTTCACTACGTGGAGACATCCTTCACGCCCTAAACAAAAATTAATTTCAAGTGCATCATTGACATAAGTGGAGAAACCTAAAACAACAAAACTTCCAGGTGGGAACACCGGAGGAAGTACTTCTGACCTTACTTCGGCAAAGACTTCAGTTGCCTCATCTGTGAAATGGAGGTAATGGTACCGTCCCTCACAGCAGTATTGAGAGGATCAGTGAAAGAACACACTTAGAGGGCTTAGCCGAGCGCCAGGCAGGCAGTAACCTTGGCAGACACTGAGATAGAGTTTGAAATTAATTTTATAGTGATCTAGTGCCCATCAGATTATAATAGAACAATTAGCCTCTCCACTCCCACCTGGATTGGTTCGTAGTCTATTTCCCGTTCACAGAAGTTCTGTGAAATAATTACCTAAGTTCATCCACCATGCGCCAGTCCTCTAGATGCAATATTTTATTAATTTACAAAGGGTCCTCTTAAACAGACATCGTTAGGCTCTGAGGTGCTCTTTTCGGATAAAAACTTGTTTCTATCACTGGGTCATTGAGTTTAGCACTGTAAACTTGGTTGGTGACAAGTGTAGACCTGACACTGTGCTTAAAGTAGAAGATGGCTAATGCTGCAAATGGGGCTTATTTCTTAGTATTTTAGTGAACACTCTACCAGCGAGCCAAAAAAAAAAAAAATACGCATTTGGGACCTAAAAAATTAATTTTCTAAACTTTTGTAGGCACTCCACAACAATAAAGGGGAAAATTGTGGTTCGTTCATACGATACAGTACTAGACAGCAAGGCAAACAAACAAAGTTCTTCGGCACGAAACGACGTGGATGAATCTCACAGAAAGTGCAGCAGAAGAAACCTTGCAGACGTGCTGCAGGTTACTACGGGAAAGTCCACAGAATCGTAAGTACACTTCGACAGGTTGTGGTGTATGTGTACAAGCACGTACCCAAAGGTAGACCAAGGTGCAGAACCCTTCCATTGTCATCGCAGAGGGCTCCCTCTGTCCCCCCTAGTAAGTGCCTTCCCCTCCCACGGTAACCATTGGTTGACCTTAGCACCGTAAATTAGCTTGTCTGTTCTTATAAATGCAGTCACAGTACAGGGCACTCTTTCATGCCTGGCTTCTTTGGCTCAACTTCGGTTCATCCGTGTTGTCTATAGCGAAAGTTTATTCTTTCTGCTTGCCAAATAGTATTCCACTATGGGATGTATCACAATTTAGTTTTTTTTTTATTGTTGGACATTTAAGTACTTCTGGTTTGGGGTCAGTGTGAATAAATCTGCTCTGAGCATTGTTACACCTGTCTTCTGTTGACTGCAGCACTGACCTCTGTTGGAACATACACCCCGGAGCTGGAACTGCCAGGCTGTAGGATGTGTGTGCTTTGACTCCAGTAAACTGTGCCAACAGCTTTCCCAAATGTACGGCCTACATGTTCACCAACTGCTGGTGAGGGTTCCAGGTTCTCTGCATTCTTGCCAACACGTGGTGTTGTGAGTCCTTTGAATTTTAGTGGGTGTGTAGATATCTCACTGTTTTTAATCTGCAGGTCCCTGATGATTAATGATGGTCATCACCTCACATGTGATTGGTTTTTTCCAAGTAAAATTCTTCTGTTTACTTTAAAGGCAGAAGTATTTCTCTCGCCCATCACAGTACAGTGTTCTTTTCGTGCTGGTGCTGTAGCCGTGCATAATCCCATTTTCTGGTAAGGCACTGTCCCTGTTAGCCCAGTGCCTGTGCGTGGCGGAAGAACACAGTGATGCCCAGCAACAGCACCCACGGTCAGCGCGCCCCTCGCTCTGGCCCTGCTGCCAGGAGCCGTGCGAGTCTGGGCCATTTTGCTCTCCTAGATCGGATGCGCCGCCCTCGATGATCCCTAAGACTTGCTGTGGGGTTCAGGAAGCCTGCTCTGTGGAAGGGGTGGGTGTGAGCGGGAGGGACCCCAGGTCAGCAGCAGCCCAGGCCCTCGGCAGGGCTTGGCCCCCTTCCCCGGGTCTAAACCCCGATAACGAGCCTCCTTCTCCTGTTTCTCCTCTACCTTTCACAGATTTTGATTTGAAAGTAAGCAATGCTGTAATTCCTTAAACCAGGAAATTAGCATAAGCAGAATATAAAACATTTTAAAACCATGTAAATCGTTGTTACTAAATGCGTCTACTAGTAAGCTGTACAGACTCTGAGTTATTCAGATGTAGCAATGTGGTCACTTATGGTACTTACGGACTGACTTTTTTTTCCCATGATAAATCTAGAAACTTTTTTAACCAAATTTAAACCCCTGTTTCTATATCAGATTGCAGAATGTCCACAAACTTAATTCTCTTGGAGTAGATTTGGTTTCACATTTTCTACAACCTAGGCAGACAGTAGGATATGATTCACTCTAACCTCATTTTCTTGCATTTTACTTTGTTTTTTTGGTTTTTTTTATTGTTTTGCAGCATATTTTCTGTTGTAACTCTGAGTAGCAGTGTTTCCTTTCAGCATTTTTAAACTATTCACTATCAGAGCTCATTAAATTTTTTTGCAAAGAATGGCTTGTTTGGATCCAGACTCATGTAGAATCTAGGTTAATCAAATCTTTGCTTCTGGCTATTACCCGTCCTGGGGCATCCACTAAATCCAGCTGGGTGAAATTCTAACAGTAGTGTCAGCAGTATTGGTTACTCCCTGTGTACCAACTGCAGAAACAGTACAATGTTGTAGTTGGAGCCTGGGCTTTGGCGTCAACTGCGGCACTTGAATTCTGACTCCTCTTGTTCGCAGCGTGACGTCAGGAAAGGCCCCAAATACTCGGGTGTATTATGTGTAAAATTCGATAAAAAAAGTTACTTTTCTGTCAGGCGGATTAAATGTCACATACGTGACAGCTTTGGACGTGTCTTGTACTCGGTATCCATGGGTTAGACCTCAGCTACCATCATACTCAGCGCTGGCTTCGGGGCTCTGTGAGGACGGAGCGTGCGACAGGCCGGGCGTGTGTCCCGTGCGCTGGGCGCTCACGCGCTGCGGCCGAGCAGACCCTCTGGCTGGATGGTTTTACACAACTTCTACTTAGGTAAAAGTGCAGTTTAGGACCACTCCTCTCCCACCCCCCAAAAAAGGGAATTTACAAGTGGAATATTTGGTAGTCAGAAGACATTTCCAGGCTAAAGCTCAAAGCTTTTAAAAATTATAATGTAACTGAAATGCTATTTGTAATGATGGAAGCAATAACTAGTATTAATAACTTTTAAAAATAAATAATTGACATTTTAAAAATAAAAAAGATGAACATTTTCCTCGTGAGTAATGATGTGATGACGTGTTTCCATCGTCTCAGCTCTCCCGGCTGCTCGTTGCCACCTGTTGCTGTCTGTGCGCCGGCGTCCTCTCCCCGCAGCACCTCACCCTTCAGTTCTAGCGTGGAAGCCCCTCTTCCCTGCTGCCCTTCCCCCGCGCTTCATGGCGCTTTCTCTCCTGCCGCTCCCAGTTTCCCTTGATGCCTTGTTGCTGTTGCCTGTTGCTTCCCTCGTTAGACTGTGGGTTTTCAAGGCGGAGGGCAGTGCTCTGTTTGTCTGTGTGCTCTCTGCGCCCTGGGTCGGTGCTTTGCCCAGAACAGACGCTCCCTGAATATTGGCAGAGTGTCTTGGTGAAGGTGCAGCCGAGGGCAGAGGCGAGGCCCAGGGAGGTGACTGGCCCACGAGCGTTGGGATCGCGCATGAGGTGACGGTCCGTCTGGGACGTTCTCAGTGGCGGAACGGAGTTGAAATGTGCTGACTGTACACATCGGCGTGGATGGCCACGGACCCCATGCCGTTGGCGCGGAGGGCAGGGCTGATCAAAGCCTGGTGTTTCTGACTTCAGAAGTTTTGTCAGATGTCAGGAAAACGAAAATAAATTCAGGTCTAAGTTAGCAGTGCGCTGCATGCAGCGTAATCATGTTTAAAACCACAAAGAAACGGACCCTGGAAAAGCTCTCATTTAGTCTTTCCACGGCTGCCATAACGTTCAGTTACTGCAGTCGCGAACCCCGCTTCCTCATGGCATTTCCACACAGCTGGAACGAGCTGTGGGCCTTTTGCAACCAGTCGGACGCGGGAACAGACGAGCACTTCTGCCCGTCGTTGGCAGTGCTTTCCCACCCCTTTCCCAGAGGCCGCCTGAGAGCCGGGCTCCCTTTGTTCCTGAGGACCACAGGCTTGACAGGCTCGGGCACCGTCATGGGCGTTCCTCAG